GTCTGAATGGGCAAACCTTTTGGGACAGAAAGTAGATGAGCAGTTGCTGGGAAATAGGGGCAGGGGAAATGGAGAGTAACTGCTAACAGATACAGTCTGAGAGCTATGAAAATGTTCTGGAATTAGACAGTTGTAATGGTTGCTCCTTTACTTGGGGACACACTAAAGCCAAGGGTAAGTTTTCTGTGAATTATATCTAAATAAAATTGATGTACAAAATGTTATTTAGTTGTGTCAGTGGCTCTTTTTGATCCCATGGATTGTAGCCCGCCAGATTCCTCTGGCCACGGGATTTCTCAGGCAATCCCACTGGAGTAGAGAAGCCATTTCCTCCTTCAGGGGATCTTCTTAACCCAGAGACTGAACCAACATCTCCTGAATTGCAGATTCACTTCTTTCAATATCACCTCCATGTCTCCTCCACAGGTGGATTCTTTACCACTGAGACACCTAGGAAGCCTATACAAAATACATCAATGTAAAAAATACAGAGCTGTATCAATGAAAGGAAATTAACTGAGTTCTTTGGAAACAAATCAAATTTATTATGGCAAGTAATTCTTTAAGGAAAAAAAAAAAACACGGGAGAGGCAACTCTCTGTCCCATCTGATTCTTTAGTGTTGCCTTGCTTTGTGCTCATGAAACACTGAAATATTTAACATGGGACCCAGTACATAGTGGGAGATTACGTCTTTCCTAACACTGAATAGGCTTTTTTCCTGAACAAATCTATCAGGGCATCACAAACACCATCCATACTACTTAGAAAAACCAACCCTTCTAAACTACTATACAGAAAAGATACGTATCTAATTTCTCTCCATTTCACTATGAAAATTAAAGGCAATTTGGTTATTGGAAGTTAAGGTTGATTCTAATATTAGGACATTCTGAGAAAAAACAAATCTTGTTCTCCCTTCTCATCACAGTAGGCCAAGTTGCTAGACATTCAAAGACAGAATTCACTTCTTTCAATATCACCTCCACATTGTATGGCATTCCTAGAACTGGGAAAGGCCTTTCAAAGAAATCTAGAAGTACAGTTTTCCACCTACACTACTAATCCAAAGGAGATATTTACTCAATTTGTAGCCAGCAACCAAGCCCACAGATGTTTAAAAGTCTTTTAGCTTTATTTTGCTGGTAATTCCCTTCAAACTTCGTAGTCTAGGAATTAGAGACCCTTTCAATCCCTGGTCTTCCCTCACCTCTGGGATGGCTCTTCCTGCAGCTATCTTAAATTCAGTACCAGTGTTCTTGCCCTTTCACTACAAGCTGGAAAGGCCTAGGAAAGAACCATTTGTTTTAAGAAGTTGTACAGAACCCTGAATATTTATCACATCTTGCTGGAAAAGAAGAATTCACATTTACTGAATTTCTATATTCAGGGTGCTTTAAATATAATCCCTGGAACAATTCAGAGATTTGCATTTTACCTCCATTTTATGAATAAGGAAGCAAGGGCTCAGAGAGATTTGGTAATTTATCCTATATTACTCAGTAAACTATAAAGTTACAACTGAACTATGCCTAAACCATGATTATCATCATTACCCTAAAATCACAATACCCTGAGCATTTTCTATGGGTAGCAGAATAATGGCCCATGTTATTAAACTGTTAGATTTCCATTATAAAAATAAAATCTCTTGAGAATATAGATTGATGGCTCCAAAGCCCTCTGAAGTGTAGGTTAAACTGGTAATGTCTCTGATGAATGAAAAATTTCACTTTGGGAAAAATAAGAACAAAGAACATAACAATATATTTAAAAAAACATATAAATAACATAAAAATACAGTTAAAAATTTTTAAATTAAAACAGTAAGATGCCAGTCCATCCAGAAGGGCAAAGGTTAAAATGTGTTAAGTAGGTTTGTAAAAATGGTTAAGTAAGTTAGGTTAAGTAAGGTTAAAGGTTAAGTAAGTAGGTTTGGAAAAATGGGTACTTTCATATACACCTATATCACAGCAGAAAGGTACCTCCATTTGGGAAGGCAATTTATCTATCAGTATCTATTAAGAACTTTTAATGTGCATATCCTGGAAGCCAGTGATTCCACTCTTACATATCTCTTCTAGAGAAACACTTGTCACATAAAAACAAAGAGGCAAAAAAAAAAAAAAACAACAGAAGCACACATAATGTTCACTGCAGCACTGTTTGCAATGTCAAAAACAGAAACAATTAGTTCATTTGTCACAGCAATCAACCACATCACTTGTCCAGCTCAAAACCCATCAGTCACTTCCCAGGGCTTTCAGAATAATCCAAATGTTTTCCTCTTTACCCCAAATCTTTTCCTCAGAAGCAAAAGGCCTGGCCCTGGCTTACAACTCCAATCCTATCCCATACCCATCTCATACCTGGCCTTCTTCATGGTTTTCCAGCACGCTACCTGGTTCCCATGTAAAGGCTGTCTCCACTGCTCGCTCCTCTGTGTAGAAACTTCTCCCTGACTTTGCATGAATGACTCCTTTTAACTCTAGTCTCAACTTAAAAGCCACCTCTGGCAACCTGGATGAATTTTGAAGGTACTATGCTAAGTCAAATAAGTTACAGAAAGACAAACACTGTAGGATCTCACTCATATGTGGAATATAAAAAACAGACATAATAAATGAGCGCAACAAACCAAACAAAATGAACACATGGATGCAGACAATGGTTACCAGAGGCGAAGGGGATCAGCTGTATGGGGAAGGATGGAAATCAAATTTCTGCTGGTGAGCACACTGTAGTGTATACAGAAGTGAAAATATAATGTACACACAAACCTAATACAATGTGAAAAACGAATTTCACCTCAATTTAAGAAATAATTTTTTTTTTTTAAAGTATGACAATTCTGCCTAAATTATACTACAGATTCAATGCAATCCCAGTTAAAATTCTACCAGGCTTTTTGAAGAAACTGACAAGTTAACGACAAAATTTATATTCAAAACAAAAATATCTAAAATAACTATAACAACCCTGGAAAAAAAAGAAAGAACAAGATTAGAATATTTACATTACCTAATTTCACAACTTACTCTAACGATAAAGTTACCAGGACAGTGTGCCATAAAAGAGGAAAAAAAAGAATGATTCAAGCTGTCTGAAATATATTCTCAGTAAAATAACATACCTTCTTTTTCTCATATTTTCTAACAAGCTTAATTTTTTTCATTTTTATTCTTCAGCATTTCAGAATGTCATTGTGATTTTTAAGACATCTTTATTTATTTATTTTTGGCTGTGCGGGGTCTTTATTGCTGCATGCAGGCTTTCTTTAGCTGCAGTGAGTTGGGGTGGCTTATTGCGGTGGCTTCTCTTGTTGTGGAGCACAGGCTCTCAGAGCCCACAGGCTTCAGCAGTGGCACATGGGCTCAGTAGCTGTGCTGCATGGGCCCAGCTGCCCACGGCATGTAGAATCTTCCCAGACCAGGAACTGAACCCGGGTTCCTGCATGGGCAGGCGGATTCCTAACCACTGGACCACCATGGAAGTCTCATTCTGACTTTTTAAACTTATTTTTAACTAGAAGATAATTGCTTTACATTTTGAGAACTTCATTGTACTTTTCCTGAACCTTCATGTCATACATGGTAGTGGTTACGGAAAAACTCAGTTTCATTTTCTTTCTCCTTTGAATGTTTCCTAAAATGTTTCTCTTTGTTCCTCCTCTCAATGAATTTGTTAATTCATAACATGTTTGAACTCAAGTATTAACTTAAATAAATTCTACATCCCTTTGGTGCAATGGGGGAAAAAAGACAATGAATCAAAATAATGTCCACAGAAACATACACACACACAAGTGATTTTTAGCAAAGGTGCAAAAAGCTTATTCAAAGGGGAAAGTTTTCAAGACATAACAATAGAACAATTAACTTGAGATGGATTGTGATACTAAACGTGAAGAGCTAAAAATTATTAAGTTCCTGAAAGAAAATATAGGAAAATATCTTTGTGACACTAAGATTATCAAAAAGTTCTAAAACAGGGCACACACATGCTCAGTTATTTTGACAGTCTTCTGATATTTAACAACCATTAACTCTTCTTTAAATTCCACCTCATGCCTTTCTCTTACTATCTGAATATAGTTATGCTGACCTGGCCTTCATAAGGAATAGGAGAAAAGTAATCCAATATATACTTACTTATACATCTACTATTTATATCAAGATAGTTAAATTATCAAAAGTTATCTGTAATTATATTTAAAGTACCCTGTCACTTTTTAGTTTACAATGAAAAATAAAGAAGTTCAAAAAACCCAAGATGGATTTAATACCAGCAGTAGAATCTACTCTAAAATTAAAAGTTCTATAATTGAAATCTTTGAAATATATTGTGAAGTGAATGGCTGAAGTTCCATTACACTGACTACCAGTAAGGCTTAGAATCTGACTCTAGGAATAAGAGAGAGTCTCAAATAATTTCTCTGACTCAGAAATTACAAGTAATTTCTTATAAGTCTCTACCACAATAAAGCTCTTATTTCCCTTAATAAAAATAGTGACATTATTTGTTTTTAAAAATTTTTGCTATTAACAATAAAATTACATCCAAGCAATCAGCTAAAGTTCTAAGGGAAAATGATAATGCTGAAATAAGAGTAAGTTTTACCATCTTTAAAAATTATTTTTAATTGGAGGATAATTGCTTTACAGTATTGTATTGGTTTCTGGCATATATCAACATGATACCACTATTACTACTAAAATTTCCATGGGTGAGAATTTCAGCATATGTAAACTCCAAAGATAAGTTTGCGAATCATCTGTCTACAAAAAAAAAGTCATAGGAAATTACGTTTTATTGAATGAATGTCAAGGGTTTTATATTACTGATTTACTATATTTATGTTTTCTGTAAAATAAATACTATTTTAAAGGATACACTGTAATTCATAAGAAAAGTAATGCAAAAAATAGATGCTTGAAATACATCCAACAGGAAACTTATTCTCACTTTTATCATCCATCCCTTTTGGTGATGCTTCTAGTGTTATGGACAAACTTGATCCTCTTGGAAATGTGTTGCCCATCGCTTTTCTGTTTCAGTCACAGTAGCTATAAATAGTTGTTTAAGAATATCCTTATCTAAATTCCTGCCTGTAAACAGAACAAAATATGGTATGATTATATTATGCTTATTAAAATGACACAGTTTACCCATCAAGTCTAGACCATTAAATGCTTGATAATCTTCAGAAATTTACAAAAACAATAGTAATTAGTGCATCCTTCCCTAACTTTCTTAATTAAGTCCCTGAGAACCAAGCTGACATTTGGATTAATCACTTTTCTAAAATTATTTGAAGAAGAGTAAAGGGCAGGACTTCTCTGATGGTCCACTGGTTAAGAATCTGCCTGCCAATGCAGGAGACACAGGTTCAATCCTCCTTCAGAAGATCCCACATGCTGCAAAGCAACAAAGCCTACAAGTCACAACTACTGAGCCAGTGCGCTACAGTCTGTAAACCTCAACGACTGAAGCCCACTCGCCTAGAGCTCATATTCCAAAACAAGAGAAGCCACCACAATGAGACATCCACGCTCCACAACTACAGAGCAGCCCCTACCTGCCACAACTAGAGAAAGACCACATGCAGCAACAAAGACCCAGTGCAATCAAAAATAAATAAGTGTAAATAAATAAGAATAAAAAAGCTCTGCTTTCTATTAAAAAAAAAAAGCAAAGGACTTGACAAGTCCTTATGATGTTATCACATAATTAGCACAAATACATTAACCACAAGCTTATTTGAATTTACAAAAGTTCAGGTTGGCTAGCACTGCTTAGGTAGAGCATTATAGCCCTCTATTTTTAAAAAAATATTTATTTGTTCATTTATTTGACTGTATTAGATCTTAGTTGTAGCGTGCAGGAACTCTTAGCTATGGCACATAGGATCTAGTTTTCTGATCAGGGATTGAGAGCGCAGAGTCTTAGCCACTGGACCACCAGCGAAGTCCCTATTTTTTTTTTTTTTGCTTTAGAAATTTAACTGTCTATAAGGGGAAAATATTTGAATAGATATGTATGTACATATATATATATATACACATTACTTTGCTGATTACTTTGTTGTATGCCTAAAAATAACACAACATTGTAAATCAACTATATCTCAATTTTAAAAAAAGTTAACTGTTAGTTACTTACCAATAAGGACTAATCGATTTGTTCTCTCACTGTCATCTTCCCAGTTCACTGGTGTCTCCTCCAGATCATATAGCTCATGGACACCTTGGACAATCACTTGTCGTGGTTTGTCTTTGATTGACACTAGCCCCTGCTCAGAGGAGAATAACCAATCAGCCACAGTTTGAATTTAAAAGCAGAAATTGAGCACCAATGTTAATGCATTAATTATCCCTATTTCTTTTTAAAATACAGAATATAAAGAACATACTGTTAAAATTCCTTAATTTCAGTTATTTGTGCATTAAAGTTTCCTAAAGCCTCCAATTTTTAAAACATGTTTCCGCATACATTAATTTTTTTAAAAAATCCCTACTTCTAATGATAAATATATGTATTATGATGTGTATTCAATGTTATCACAACGAAAAACTGAAACTAAATGATAAAACATGTTATGTATCAAATTCTACCGATTATTCTACTTTTAAAGACTTTATACTTATTTCCATTTTAGTAGGAAAATTTGAGATGTTTAAAGGATTTTGATGATAATATGTTTTTCAATGAGTTGCATTAAATGAAGTAGATAATGATGAAATAAAGGAAAAGAAAAACTATTTTATTTATCTGGATAAAATCCACTTTATATTGATTTGTAGAAATAAAGAGCAAATTATCTAATAAACTGGCTCCTATGGGGATGATATAATTTCTCTGAAATAGTGTTTATTAATTATACATATTTATTATAAAATAATACAATATTGAAAAATAATAAGAGACAAACCACTGTCATTACCACCTCACAATTCCTGTGTATTTTTGGTAATATTCATGTATTTTGGGTGTATGTTCTTCCAGTTACTTTTTCTTGTGCCATTTCATTTTCTGCTTTTTAAAGTTGAGTTTTAATATGTAAGAACAAACATTTTGAAAATAATTACCTAAGCATTAATTTTATACGTATATGAAGTCTTTGAAGTATCAGCTGTTACTAGAGGTCACATTTTAAACATATTGATTATTATCAGACTAATACTCCGTAAGAGCAAAGAGAAGGAACTCTATGAAGAGAAAGGCTATGTTGTCTCAGATGCCCCAGTGTTGCTGTGATGAGAGGAAGGCCAAAAGGAGAACCAAAGAAAGGAAGAACAAGAGAAAATATCACATATCTAAGAACAAAATCCAAACTGGGATGGTGCAAAATGAGCCACCGAACTCTCTACAGAGTGGTATATGTGACTGCTTAATTTTAGGTAACCACCCTACACTCACCAGGGATGAAAGGAGTTACAGAAAGAAATATGATCTTTCAATTAGGATCATAGAATGCAGATGGGGACAGAATCACAGAGAAGCAGCAGACCTGGCTTAGTTCCTCTGGGTGGGAATGATTGGGGAGTACACTGGGATTCACCTGTGTTCCTTTGCAGTGCCAAACCCAGGTAGAGCCCGCACAGGAGGTAAAGAAATCTAAATATTTTCCCTGTCACTCTAGTGACCCCAGGAAGTTGGATGCTAACCAGAGAATCTAGTTACTAACAATAATGATAATAAACAGCATTAATAAAACCCTAAGCACACTTCTGGAAACATAAGACTGCTGACTGGTTAAGCACACAGCCTACAACCCACTGCTCCCTGGAAAAAACACCCTGTGTGACATAATAAAGTCAGATAAACATGAATGGATTTCCAAACATAGAACAAGAATTCTTTTAGTCCTTCATAACTTTGTTGCACTGTATATCAGATGTTCAGTGTCTGCTAAATGCATCAAGAAGCATAAGATTCGGCTGTGGCAAGCTCTGTTAATGAAGCTCTCTTAGAGTAACACAAGAAAACATTCTGTTTTCTCTGACTGACCACAAGTTGTTACACCAAGAGGAGGGAAATTTCAACAAGTCAAGCTCATTAGCCAGATAACTGCTCAGAGCACCTGGGAGTAGAGAGCAAGAGGGGATATTCCAATGCATGCAGGTTGTTTAGCTGCAGCACCCGGTGAAGCTGTGCAAATAAATCATGCTTTTATGCAACTATGCAATGACTTTCAAAGCTTCTTTTCAGAAATGGAAATAAGGAAAAATGAAAACACACAAAGGTTATTTGAACTAAACCTAGTACTTGTGTTTTTGACTAACTATGGGGGCTTTTTTCTAACAGCCAAGAAAGGGACTTTGTCCAAAAGTATAAAACCATAAGCTGTGTACCACACCTTCAGTCGTATGACCTCCATGCAGTCGTCATCCCTGTTCCTCACATTCTTTTCCCACAGAAGATTCTGTATCAAGTGACATATTTTAATAAGATCAACCACTGCTCAGAGGAACAGCTACATGACAAAACAATTGATAAATCATTAATAAGTTAAAAGTGCATTCACCTGAATATAAACATTTAGACTTTCTTCCTCTGCATTTCCTGGTACTTCAAATGTGACTGTAATAATACTCTGTAAATCAAGAGATACTCAATAATGATTTTTTTTATAATAATGTCAATCTATTTTTTTTCAAATCACAAGTTTCAAAATGACAAGTAAGGAAACATTCATGGACATTTGTGTTGCCTTAAGAATTGTATTAGGTGTATCTTTTTCACCACATTTGTTGATTTTTGAAATCAGCAACTCCATGTTCTATATTCTGTAGCTAGTCAATGGTTTAGTATTTACACAGAGAAACTCTTATGAAAAGACACTCATTGTTTAATGCATTCTTTACAAGATTCTCAGCATTAGAGGGAGGTTAATATAAAGAGTGTATCAGCTATGCACTAAATGAAGTACTTTTGCCTGGGTCCTTTTATTTCATCTCATCATCTACTCATGACAACAAACCATGGATTAAAGAGAATGATTTTCCATTTTATAAACTGGGAAGGATGAGGCTCAGAAAAAATAAACTACCCAGAGCCAGGAATAACACTCAAATGCAAAGGTTCTCTGGGAAATATAAATAGAAATTGAAAGATTCAGTTTATCTCTAACTGAACACGTTCCAAGAGAAGAAGAGTTCCTAGAGATGAGAATGAGTTTTAGAAAGTTGACATCAACATTTACAGAATGTTAACTTTGAGATTTATTTTTTCTCCTGATCTTGATAAATCTCTCACTGACCACTCTAAGGAATCAGAAGCTTAAGATTTCCTCTAGCTGAGCACATAATTAAAATCCAAACCTCCATTTGCCACAGTAACCCAAAATTTTAAAATTAATGATAAAAATACACAGGAGCTAAGCATAACACAACAAAAGCAAAAACCCCATCTTGGGGAATAAGATGCTCAAGCCAAGCTTTAAAACAGACAGAAAGAATACACTAATATACAGCATTGCATAATTGCCTAGAAACACATATCTTAACATTACAAATCACACATAAAAATCCATACCAAAATGTATAGCAAGTCATAAAGCATATCAAAATACACAGCAAAAAGATTGCCAAATGAAACATAATTTGTTAATTTCAAAAGACAGCAGTAATTTAACCTTTAAAAATGCTTATTCAAGTTGGATAACTTGGCTTTTAATGTTGGGAATGTCTCAATATAGGACTCAATACTGTACCAGGAATTATTTTTGCTTTTGGCAAGTTAGAGATATGATGGTATTTCTAAAGAGTGCAATTAATTCCAATGTGAAATTTTTTAAAAAGTTTTTAAAAACTAAAATGATGCATCATGGGACTCAAGGGAGAGAGACATTTTAGAACCAGATGTTTTTCTGTACCAATAAACTCTTCTCATATTAGACAAATCCTAAAGAAGATGAAGTGGCTCAGTGGTAAAGAATCCACCTGCCAATGCAGGTTCAATCCCTGGCTCAGGAAGACTCCCTGGAGAAGTGAAAGTGAAAGTGAAGTCCTTCAGTCGTGTCTGACTCTTTGCGACCCCATGGACTGTAGCCTACCAGGCTTCTCCATCCATGGGATTCCCCAGACAAGAATACTGGAGTGGGCTGCCATTTCCTTGAAACAGCAATTCACTCCAGTATTCTTGCCTGGGAAGAATACTGGACAGAGGAGCCTGGTGGGCCACAGTTCATGGGTTGCAGAAGAGTCAGACATAGCAATTAAACAACAATAAAGAAGATGAAACCCATAAATGTGCAGTGCAGAAGATGAGGGTCTCAACTCAAGAGTTCACCACTGGCTCTACTAATAAGTATACACAGATTGACACCTGGGTTTTCTCATCTACCTTTCCCCATTCAAACCCAGTTCCTCTTTATCAGAATGAACAAGAAATCCCTGAAAAACAAACAAATGCATTAAACATCATTCAGGGATAAAACTTTAATGACATACATAATATGTTCTAGGTATTACCCATTTCAGACTTTTTCCAGTTTATTTGAATCTAAAATTAACTCTCCTTTTCCTGTACACAGAAAGAAGCAGAAAACTGAAGCAGTAATTTAGAAGATTAAAGCAAAATAAGGTACTGCCCCTAAAATAAAATTTAGGAATAACTCTTAAATATTAGGATTTTGGTCTGTTTGTTCTTTAACCTACCGGGTTATCTCCCTCACTTTCCCACTCTTTTGCAATCAATATCTAACATGTAGTAACATGCAGTAACTTCTGTATCTTTTTTTATCTGGAAAACTAAGCCCACTAATGGGCTTAAACACAAAATCCCTTTCTCCACACTCCACTCCTCTGGCTTCTTTCCCTGTGACACCTCTGCTATGATATCCTGCCACCAGGTACACAGATAAACATTTGGTGTCTTTATCCAAATCACTCTGCCTTCTAGATTTCCCTATTTCTATTATTAATAATAGGTCCCTTTTGTCCATTTAGGCTTGTTTCCCATCACCTCCATCTTTCCTTCCTGCTCACCATCAGTTAGTAAGGCTATCCAAGCAAGCCGACCTGTTTAACAGTGCTCACTGTCTACCATTTCCATTCTACTGTAAACAACACAGATCAGGCCCTCATCACAGGGTATATGGACTTCCGCAGTATCTTCCTGCTTGGTCCCCTGACTCCACACTCCAATCCAGCTTACTGGACACTGTCTAATAGTACAGAATGAATTCTCCTTGCCTAGCAAATCAAAGCCTAATACTTAAGCTCAAATTCTAATACCAAGCATCATCAGGACTTCTCTTCTGGAGCACTGTTACTTTCCCACTTTTAAAGATCTGGACTGCTCTTTTCCTTATTTCTTCCAGTCCAAAAGAAAGAAAAAAAAAAAACACAAAAAAACAAAAAGTCTCCTTGTTTAAGGTTTCTTGTTGGTGTATAAATCACAGTAGCAGTTACAACTCTGGAAGAAGAAGGGTTAACGACCGGGAAGGAGCACAAAGAAACTCTCTTAACACTTTCGGAAATCTTGATCTTGATCTCAGCAAGAATTACAGAGATATCCGTTCGTGTGTACATACAAATACACATGCACAAATATAAATAAAGATGCACTGACTTGCAAACTAAAAACACGTATGCTTTACTATACGTTAAAAAAACAAACAAAACAAAAATCTATCTTTCATGAAGCCTCAGATCCAAATGAGACTGTTCATGTAACTGAATCTCACAGTCCTTGGTCTGCAATATTATATTATACTTGGCCCTATGTTGATATACCTAAAGTAGGAAAGTGCATCAGAATCTCCTGTAGAGCTTTTTTAAAAAAGAAAGAAGGACAAAGATTGGAATATCACATTTCTTGATTATAAACTATACTAAAAAGCTACAGTAAGTTCTACAGAACTTATATAAAAACAGAAACATAAGGAAATAAAATAGAGAGCCCAGAAATAAATTCACACTCATATTGTCAATCAATTACAACAGAGGAGGCAAGAACAGACAACATGGAAAAGACAGTCTCTTCAGCAAATGGTACTGGAAAAACAGAACAGCTACAAGCAAAAGAATGAAACTAGACCACTTTCTTATAACACAAACTTGAAATGGATAAAAGATTAAATTTAAGAGCTAAAACCAAAAAACTCCTAGAAGAAAACAGAGGCACTACACTCTTTGACATAAGTCTTGGCAATTATTTTTTTGGATCTATTTCCTTGGATAAAAGCAACCAAAACAAAATAAAAGAATGGAAATACATCAAGCTAAAACATTTTTGCAAAGCAAAAGAAACCTTCAACAAAATGAAAAGGCAATTTGCAACTGATTTGTCTAAGACATGATTAATATCCAAAATACATAAAAAATCATACAACTCAGTATCACAAAAAACCCAAACAATCTAATTCAAAAATGAGCAGAAGACCTGAACAGACATTTTTGCAAGGAAGACATACAGATGGCCAACAGACACGTGAAAAGATGCTCAACATTACTAAGCATCAGGGAAAAGCAAATCAACCACAATAAGATATGACCTCACATCTTTCAGAATGGCTATTCTCAAAAAGATATCAAATAATAAGTGTTCGTGAAGATGTGGGGAAAACAGAACTCTCATGCACCACTGGCAGAAATGAAAATTGGCACAGCCACTATGGAAAACAGTAATGAAGCTTATTCAAAAAAATAGGACTACCATCTGTTGTTGTTCAGTAGCCCAGTCATGTCCAACAATTCCACTTCTAAGAAAATGAAAACAGTAATTCAAAAAGATACACGCCCCTTAATGTTCATTGAAATACTATGTATTTACAATAGTAAGATATGGAGACAGGAATCTTAAGTGGTCACCAAGAAATGAATGCATAAAGAAGATATGGTGTGTGTGGGTGCATGCACAGATGCACATATGTACGTGTATACATACAACAGAATATTACTCAACTATAAAAAGACTGAAATCTTGCCATTTGTGACACTACGGATGGGCCTACAAGTCTTATGTTAAGTAAAATAAATCACACAGAAAAAGATAAATACCATGAATTCACTTATATGTAGAAACCCAAAAAGCAAAAGAAATGAACATGTGTAACAAGACAGAAACAGACTCATAGATAACAGAGAACAAACTGGTGGTTGCCAAAGAGAAGGGTCAGGGGGATAGGCAAAACAGGTGAAGGGGACTAAGAGATACAAACTTTCAGTTGTAAAAGAAGTAAGTCATGAATATTCTGTTAAGAAAAGTTTCTCAGAGAAAAATGACACAAATGTGGTAGTATAGCTCCCCATAAATATGAGCCAAAATGAAGACGGGTAAGTATGCTGTTATTGTGGCCCTATTAAAATCGATTCAAAAAATAAGTGACAGTCTCGAGGAAAAGGAGACAGTGCAAGACACACTACGCACTCACAGGCCCCTTCTCAGCGTTTACACAGAAGAGAGACGTTACCCGTAAGCGCCACCATCCACAAGCTGCTTTAAAAAAAGGTGGGGAGAGTGAAAATACACTTTGTTCCGAGCATCTTTCCTGCCTTTCCAAAGTCAGTTTTTATTTAAATAAGCCATGGATGTCTATTCCAGACTTTTCCTTAATCAGTTAGTTAAATATACTTAAAAATAGGCTGCATAAAGAACCCCTAGGGCACTTTTATATAGTAATTCACATCAAAAGAAGTAATTGAAATATGTTGACTGCCATGTAGAATGGAGAAGCCAGAAAGCATGATTTTCTAAGATTTTAAATAATTCTGGTTTGATGAACTCTTATTACGCATTAAGAAGCTAGATCTATATGATGACCTCAAGAACATTTAAATTATGAAAACTATCAAAACAGTTAAAAAATGCTTTTTAAAAAAGAGTTCTAATGAAACAATTCTAAACAGAACAAGGTAGTTAAAGATGATTTTTTAAGATTTTTTTTTTACCTGATCAAGATGAGGTTGTGTTGTTGGCACATGTTGAAGTTTTTTCTGCAAACTAAGAATAACTGGTTATAAATTCAGAGCTCAACATATTTCTCATTTCACCTTATATATTACTTAGAGACAAAGCTAAATAGGAGAGAACTTCCACAGCTGAATCTGTTACATAGTTCCAATTTTACATGCTGTTTTACATATTCTAATAGACAAATGCTAGCAGACTGCTTACAAACTTCTCATAAAAATGTACATTCATTGATATACATACATATACACACAATATAGAGAAAAACTAATCTTAACTATTTTATGTGGTTAAATACTTTTCTTCTTATTTCCAAAAGACCTAAAATAGGCCTAGGAAAATATACCTAAGCATTTTACAACTGCTGAACATTTCATCTACTCTCCCCGTGAAAATAATGCTTGAACCTAAAAAAAATTAGAAGAGTAAGTTTTTTCCATATCAATGTTTTCCCTTGAATATATCTACTTTAAAAAAATTAACAGTATCCATAAACATAAGCCTTCTATTCAGTCAGTTACCAGTGGCTGACAGAAAACTAAAAGACTCCTAGAAATACATTGTTCTGATATAAAAGAAGCTAAAGATCAATATGCCATAACAAATTACAACCATAACAACTGCAGCATACATTTAGAGACTGATGGGGGTAGGTTGGGAGGAGGAAAAGGACTTAAAACCTTGCAGATGTTTTGCCTTGGAGAACAGTGAGGGGTAAATTAGTAACAGCAAGTTTAGGAAAGAGAAAAGGCTAGTAGGAACTGTTGAAGGGAATGAGTGTCCTTGGGGGGTCTCAGTAGGGACAGTGTCAAATTAAATCCTTCCCAGCTGGTTGCTCAGGAAAGGATTCTCTTGTTAAGCATCTAAGCACAAAGAAAAGTTACGCAAAGACCTTACCCAGAGCAGGGCCTTCACGTTAAGTAGTTATTTCTTTTAAGCATCACTAATGCAGTAAGTGTGGAATGAAATTACTTTGGAAACTTTGAAAAAATTCTATGTTCTTTCCCTGCGTTTAATATTTAATATTGGACAATGACTGCCTACAACTTCCACAGGGAAGAAAAAGTTTTCCTCTACCTTTTAAATCCCTAGGTAGGTCTGAAAATTAGACTGACAAAAATTAAGAAGAGAAAAGCATATACATTCACTCAATAAGGGTTTTGATTGACAAAGAAAAGTTCATAGTGAAATGAAGACCTGAAAAAAGGGTAAACCTGGGTGTTTCTGTGCCAGGTTTGATGAAGAGTGGAAAGCCATGGAGCTATGACAGGACAGAGGATGAGCCAAATGTGGTAAACAACGGGAAACTCAGCAAGGTCTGTGCCCTGAGATTCCCTCCATCATCAGAGATAAGGATGCTCCCTTCCTTTGGGTACAGAGAGGTCACCTCTCATATAAGTCATACCTCTCACTATGACTCATCTACTTCAGAGGAAATGGGAGAAAATATTTGCAAACCATGCATCTGATAAGGGGTTAATACCTAAATTATTTAAGAACACCTACATTTCAGCCACACACACACACAAAAATAATAATAATCCAAATAAAAAATGGGCAAAGTATCTGAACAGACATTTCTCCAAAGACAATATACAAACGGCCAGCAAGTAAATGAAAAGATGCTCAATATCTAATTGTTTTAGAAATGCAAATCAAAACCACAACGCATCTCACGTCCATTGGGACAGCTACTACCAAAACCAACAGAAAATAGGAAGTGTTGGCAAGGATGTGGAAAAATAGGAACATTTATGCACTGTTTGTGGGAATGTAAAATGGTGCAGGTGCTATAGAAAACAATATGATGGTTCCTCAAAATATTAAAAATAGAACTACCATATGATCCAGCAATCTCAGTTCCGGGCATATATCCAAAGAATTTAAGGCAGGGTCTTAAAAAGGTATTTGTACACCCAACCCATGATCACTGCAGAATTATTCACAATAGCCAAGAGGTGAAAGCAACCTGAATGTCATTATGAATGAATAAATGGATAAATAAAAAAATGACATATACAATGGAATATTATTTAGCCTTAAAAAGGAAGACAATATTGTCACATGCTACAAAACAGACGAACCTTGAGAACTAAGTGAAATAAGTTAGTGACAATAGGACAAATACTGTATGATTTCACTTATTTGAGGTACCTAAAGTTATCAAATTCTTAGAAACAGATGACACAGTGGTAGTTACTAGGGGCTACAAGGAGAGGAAAACCGGGAGATGTCATCAGACTGGTACAGAGTTTCAGTTCTGCAACATGAAAAAGTAGATCCATTGCAAACAATGTGAATATACTTAACACTATTGAATGAACTCTACAGTTAAAACTGGTTAAGGATGGTTTAAAAAAAAAGATATCAATGACCAGGGAAGAATTATTTGTTCTTTCCCTTATCAAAATAAGTCCCTGGGGAAAGAGATAGGAAACTGATCCAATCTACAGGAAAAGGAGCGCTTGTGGGAATACCCCAAACTAAAGCTTTCTATGTATTTCATGTGTTTTCTCATAGGAAGAATTACACACAGTGGTTGTGAAAGAAATATTAACATCAAATCTCTGAAGTTAAGTACCACTTACACTGTAACTTCTGTAGGAAAATACATGTGATTTCCAAACAACCAGTTAGCAAAACTTTCAAGAACATAATCATTAGGAATGATCTAGAACATCAAAGATGTGACAGGAAGCATAAATCAAATGTGCATCTGTATAAATCATTCTTTTAATACCTATAACTGTAGGGGAAAAAAATACATTATAGTAAAAATGACCAGAACAGGACAGGAAACATACCTCATTCCAGAGAGACTGTCAAAGGCATGAAGATCTAATACTTTCGCAAGATCAACTCTAAAAGGAAGAATACCAACGTGAAGTGTTAAATTCTGTAAAATACAATTAATAAAGAAAAGCAATCTCTATTTTGCCAGAAATGTAGACATAAAAATTAATTAATATATACTATTTTGGGAAAACATATAACATGACAGGCAAGGAACAAAAAAGTTGCTATAAAAATTTTCTATGGGATTTATGCATAAAAATTTAAAAACAGAATAAATGGTTTTAGACCAAGAAAGAAAATTATTTTGAAATTGCTTCAATAAACTGTAGTGGGGTTTTTGGTTTGTTTTTACTTAAATTGTCTTTTTAGTTCTAAAAATGAGCTTTTCAAACTAGATTTTTATAGCAAAAAAAAATTGGTTAAAAAACTGAAACCTTTCAAAAGTAGCAGTTTACTACTCAAAGGATGAAATGAGTGAAATTGAACAAATGTAAATAACGAAGTGGTACAGGAACATTATCTTTGGAATTATTGTATTTCTTTTACTCCATCTTTCATGATACAAGTAGTATCATAATATAAGCAGTCAAACAATCAATACATAAATATTAACTCTAGGACCCTTATCTATATCCAAAGAATATGGTTTGATTTTATTTCCTTCAGATGGGGTTGCATATAGACTGAAACTTCCCGTTAGTGCTCTATCTGAATAAACATTATTTCTGTTAAAATTATTTAGTGGTAATTAAGTCTTGTTAGGAAAGCAGAGATTGAAGTCAGAAGAGGTTATCATATCACAATCAGCATTCAGTTAAGTTCAGTTCAGTCACTCAGTCATGTCCGACGCTTTGCGACCCCATGGACTACAGCATGCCAGGCCTCCCTGTCCATCATCAACTCCCAGAGTTTACTCAAACTCATGTCCACTGAGTCAGTGATGCCATCGAACCATCTCATCCTCTGTCATCCCCTTCTCCTCTCACCTTCAATCTTTCCCAGCATCAGGGTCTTTTCAAATGAGTCAGCTCTTTGCATCAGGTGGCCAAAGTATTGGAGTTTCAGCTTCACCATCAGTCGTTCCAATGAACACCCAGGACTGATCTCCTTTAGGATGGACTGGTTGGATTTCCTTGCAGTCCAAGGGACTCTCAAGAGTCTTCTTCAACACCACAGTTCAAAAGCATCAATTCTTCAGTGCACAGCTTTCTTTATAGTCCAACTCTCACATCCATACATGACTACTGGAAAAACCATAGTCTTGACTAGATAGACCTTTGCTGGCAAAGTAACGTCTCTGCTTTTTAATATGCTGTCGAGGTTGGTCATAACTTTCCTTCCAAGAAGTAAGCATCTTTTTATTTCATTGTTGCAGTCACCATCTGCAGTGATTTTGGAGCCCCCCAAAATAAAGTATGCCACTGTGTCCACTTTCTCCATCTATCTGCCATGAAGTGATGGGACCGGATGCAATTATCTTTGTTTTCTGAATGTTGAGCTTCAAGCCAACTTTTTCACTCTCCTCTTTCACTTTTATGAAGAGGCTCTTTTCTTCTTCACTTTCTGCCATAAGGGTGGTGTCATTTGCATATCTGAGGTTATTGATATTTCTACTGGCAATCTTGATTCCAGCTTGTGCTTCTCCAGCCTAGCATTTCTCATGATGTACTCTGCATATAACTTAAATAAGCACGGTGACAATATACATCCTTGACGTAATCCTTTTCCTATTTATAAAGAATAGTGACTGAGTTCCAATTTTTATGCCAGCCTATGAAACAGTAAGGGCTTCCCTGGTAGCCCAGCAGTGGAATCTGCCTGCAGTGCAGGAGACAGGAGTTCTATCTCTGGGTCGGGAAGATCCTCTGGAGAAGGGAATGGCAACCCATTCCAGTATTCTTGCCTGAAAAGCAGACAGAGGATCCTGGAGGGCCACAAAGTCCAGGGGGTCGCAAAAGAGTTGGACACGAGTGAGGGACTAAACAACAACATGAAGCAGTAAAGGACAGTGATTTCTCCACAAACAAAGCTACAGTGAAGAGATGTCTGAAGAAAAATGACAAGCAGTAAGATCAGGTTTCAAAACTAAACTCCAGGGGTATGCTGAACATTCATTAAATTTTCTGACAAGGAAAATAAGATTTCACCTGAGAAAAATTTTGTCAAAAGTTTCTCAAATATAAAAACATGTAAAAATCATCTCCTTTAACTTAGGGCTGACCAGCTGTGTCTACTTTGTTCATTCTCAATAGTCTGTCATATATTCATACTTATAGCAACAAGAGTCTGTTAAATTATGAACCTTATCCTGAAACAAGGCAGACAAATTCCCACCTTGTTAAAAGAGGGATACTCCAGAGTTCTATGTTAACAGACTGTAATATTTCAAATTCTTGACATTCTAGATGAGCAGAATTAGGAAAATAATCAAGCAAAGAAGTAAATGTTCCATGAAAAAAATTTCTGAATATCAATTTACAGAAGAGACCAAAGCCTTAATAGTAAACATATTTCCTTTCATACCATCACAGTTAAGCAAATATTTATACTGACAGGTGACAAGTGAATGAAGTTTTTCACCAAGTTTGTCATCTTTAACTTAGGAAATAGCTAAAGTTTAAAAAGTTTACACATGCTAATTGTGTGAATATCAAAATTCAGGCCAACTAAACACAAGCTTCTAAACAATCTACAGTTTTCACCACAACAGTATTCTTGAGAATACAGATCAGATTTAGAGATTATTCTGCTTTATACCCAGATTCTTTTGATATTTCCAAATCAGACGGTATCAATAAAAGATCTACACAGGATAAATTGTACAGAGAACAAAAAGTACCAAAGTCCCTCACTGTATCTAACCAGATTCTCAATGGAAAGGAAAAGAGAAAAGTCTGAGGTTCCAGATGAAAGTTGTCATGGACTTTCCCCAAATTTAGTACCACCATCAAAAAACAAATTTCATCACTTATCCAAGGCATGTAACTAGAAAACTAATTTTCATGGCATCAAATTTTATTTAATTTTTCTCTTCAGAGATAAAAGCAGCAGATCTCTTCCAAAACATTAATATAGAAAAAATAAAAAATAAAAAGACTATTACTATCATGTAAAAACAGAATGGCAGAATGAAGCAAAGAAAGAAGAATAAAGTTCCAAAGCTCATAATTTCTCCTAATTTCTTGAACTATTATGCCAGAAGTACCTAATCTTTTCCCTACTAGGAGCTTTCAATTATCCCTATGTCTAAAGACTGCTTTAAGTAGCCTAAAACTAGGAGCAGGAGAATGGAAAAGGAAGAGGGCTCTGGCTCTCTCAGGGGAGGGGAGTTTTCGCTACTACTCCAGAAGTCTTTTCAAAGTTCAGTCAGTCAGACACATGGGCCACCAGACCATCCCAGATCTACGAGTAGTTGATAACATCATATAGTAAGTCTTGACTTCTAGAGCTAAATTTCCAAATGCCTTCCCAAGTGGCATCTCAAACTCAGTGTTTACAAAATGGAACTAATCCCCTTTACCAAACCCAGTGCTATCACTGTGCTGTGTGTGTCCTAAGTTGCTTCGGTTGTGTCCGACTCTTTGCCACCCCATGGACTGTAGCCTGCCAGGCTCCCCTATCCATTAGATTCTCCAGGCAAGCTGGGTTGCCATGCCCTCCTCTAGGGTATCTTCCTGACCCAGGAATCAAACCCACGTCTCGTCTGTCTCCTGCATTGGCAGGTGGATTCTTTACCACTAGAACCACCTGGGAAACTCCACCCCAAAGCTGCTCCTCCTTTCTGAATCTCCTAACTTGGAGAACAGCACCATATTCACTCCATATCACGAGTCATACTGCCTTTAAAACCCTTCATGAATAACTTGCTGCCTACTATAGAAAATCCAAACCATGCGTCATGGCATTCAATACTCTTTGAGGTAATTTCTTCATCTCCATAGTCATATGTCTTTTCCTCTCTGCAACATAATATTAACACAATGTGTTTTGCCCATTCTAAAATATTCACACCTTCCTGGAATACCAAATCCTTCTTATGCTGAGAAAGACACTACTACTCTGGTCCATTTCAAACTGTTCATGGGGTTCTCAAGGCAAGAATGCTGAAGTGGTTTGCCATTCCCTTCTCCAGTGGACCATGAACAGAGTTTTGCCAAGGGAATGCACTGGTCATAGCAAACCCCCTCTTCCAACAACACTAGAGATGACTACGCATGGACATCACCAGATGGTGAATACTGAAATCAGACTGATTACATTCTTTGTAGTCAAAGATGGAAAAGCTCTATACAGTCAGTATACTGTATACAGTATACAAGATGGGGAGTGGACTATGGCTCAAATCATGAACTCTTTATTGCCAAATTCAGACTTAAATTGAAGAAAGTAAGGAAAACCACTAGGCCATTCAGGTATGACCTAAATCAAATCTCTTACAATTATGCGATGGAAGTGACAAGTAGATTCAAGGGATTATATCTGATAAACAGAGTGCCTGAAGAACTACGGACGGAGGTTTGTAACACTGTACAGGAGGCAGTGATCAAAACCATGCCCCCCAAAAAGAAATGCATAAAGGCAAAATGATATCTGAAGAGGCCTTACAAATAGCTGAGGAAATAAGAGAAGCAAAAGGCAAGGGATAAAAGAAAAGATAAACCCATTTAAAGCAGAATTCCAAAGAATAGCAAGGAGAGGTAAGAAAGACTTCCTAAGTGAACAATGCAAGGAAAACAACAGAATGGGAAAGACTAGAGATCTCAAGAAAATCAGAGATACCAAGGCAATATCTCATGCAAAGATGGGCACAATAAAGGACAGAAACAGTGTGGACCTAACAGAAGCAGAAGATATTAAGAAGAGGCAGCAATACACAGAAGAGCTATACAAAAAAGATCTCAATGACCCAGATAGACCCAGACATCCTGGAATGTGAAGTCAAGTTGGCCTTAGGAAACATCACTAAAACAAAGCTAGTGGAGGTGATGGAATTCCAGCTGAACTATTTTCAATCCTAAAAGAGGAGGCTGTGAAAGTGCTGCCCTTAATATGCCAGCAAATTTGGAAAACTGAGCAGTGGCCACAGGACTGGAAAAGGTCAGTCTTCATTCCAATCCCAAAGAAAGGTAATGCCAAAGAATATTCAAACTACCACAAAATTGCACTCATTTCACATGCTAGCAAGGTCATGCTCAAAATCCTCCAAGCTAGGCTTCAACAGTATATGAACTGAGAACTTCCAGATGTACACGCTGGATTTATAAAAGGCAGAGGAACCAGAGATTAAATTGCCAATATCTGTTGGATCATAGAAAAAGCAAGAGAATTCCAGAAAAACATCTACTTCTGCTTCATTAACTATGCTAAAGCATTTGACTGTGTGGATCACAACAAACTGTAGAAAATTCTTCAAGAGATGGAATACCAGACCACCTTACCTTTATTCCAAGAAATCTATATGCATGTCAAGAAGCAACAGTTAAAACTAGGTATGGAACAATATGAATGTGAATGTGAAGTCGCTCAGTCGTGTCTGACTCCTTGCAAGCCCATGGACTGTAGCCTACCAGGCTCCTTCGTCCATGGGATTTTCCAGGCAAGAATACTGGAGTGGGTTGCCATTTCCTTTTCCAGGAGATCTTTCCAACCCAGGGATTGAACCCTGGTCTCCCACACTGTAGGCAGATGCTTTACCATCTGAGCCACCAGGGAAGCCTCAATGGACTGGTTCAAAATTGGGAAAAGGATTACATCAAGGCTGTATATTGTCACCCTGCTAATTTATATATATATATATGTATATATATATATTTATATACATATGCAGAGTACATCATGCAAAATGCCAGGCTGGATGAAGCACAAGCTGGAATCAAGATTACCAGGAGAAATATCAATAACTTCAGATATGCATATGCTACTACTCTTTTGGCAGAATGTGAAGAGGAACAAAAGAGCCTCTTGATGAGTGTGAAAGAAGAAAGTGAAAAGGTTGGCTTAAAACTCAACATCCAAAAAATCAAGATCATGGCATCCAGTCCTATCACTTCATGGCAAATAGATGGGAAAACAATGGAAACAATGACAGATTTTATTTTCTCGGGTTCCAAAATCACTGCAGATGGTGACTGCAGCCATGAAATTTAAAGGCACTTGCTCGTTGGAAGGAAAGCTATGACAAATCTATGACATTAAGAAACAGAGACATCTCTTTGCCAACAAAGGTCCGTATAGTCAAAGCTATTGTTTTTCCCGAACTCATATTTGAATGTGAGAACTGGACCATAAAAGAAGACTGAGCACTGAAGAATTGATGCTTTTGAACTGTGGTGCTAGAGAAGACTCTTTGAGAGTCCACTGGATTGCAAGATCAAACCAGTCAATCCTAAACAAATCAACCCTGAATATTCACTGGAAGGACTGATGCTGAAACTGAAGCTTCAGTACTTTGGCAGCCTGATGTGAAGAGCTGACTCACTGGAAAAGACTGTGATGCTGGGAAAGACTGAAGGCAGGAGAAGGGTTTGACAAAGGACAAGATGGTTGGACGGCATCACCGACTCAATGGACTTGAATGTGAGCAGGCTCCAGGAGATGGTGAACGACAGGGAAGCCTGGCACAGTCCTTGGAGTCACAAAGAGTCGGACATGACTGAGTGACTGAAGAGCAACAACTCTGGTCCATCTGGAAAACACCTATTCGTTCTTCAAGATTCAGGTAAATGATCACCTGCTGTCAAGAGTTTCTGACTTTCCACCAAGAAGAGTTGAATAGTTGTTCCTCTATATTCCTATTCTTATAGGATCTTGTGTATTTAATATTCCTATTGTAAAATGGTATTTAACATATTTGTTTTTAATATATTTTAATCTCCTTAAAGGCACAGTTTTTACCTTATACATTGTTCAAATTGTCAATATACCACGAAATGTATAGCAACTAGTGGAAGGCTCAATAAATCATTGAGTTGATTAACTTATTATCAATCAATTAAACTTTGGCTTTCCTCTGTTCAGTCCACTTAAATTTCCAAGATTAAAAAAAGTCTGTTAAAGAATGGTACTTCTAATCTTCCACACATACTTCTGAAGTCCATTAGAATTTCCATTTGCCTCAAAATCAATTTAAGTCTCAGCAATAAGACATACTACACCATTCTTACTCCTTAACTAAATACTCAAGGTAAGCCTTTTCTACACATTTTGTAAGTTTTACAATTGCTATACTATTATAAGTTTTACTATTTTTACTATTATAAGCATTTGCCAACCACAAAATGCTTAAGGGATTAAAAAAATTTTAAGTATCATTTCAGAAAGCCCCTGGTATCTCAGATGCACTGGCAAACACCAATCGAAGAAACAGAAGCAAAAAGGAGATGTTATTCACTTGTTCATTTATGCATTTGAAATAAAATTTAATCACTGCATGTTTATTGAAAAAATGAGACACCAAATGTTAGGAATATTATATAAACATCAAAACTGTTACAAAATAAACCATTTAAGATGAAATGTTTATGCGGGACATAAAGGTTGAAAATTGAAGTCAATAAAAAGAAAAATTAAGCAAGATAAATCCAAGGGTCTTTAAAAAAATTGGTTTATGACGTTTGTAAAAACAAACCAAATAAATCTATTACAACATAATCACATCTATTTACAGATATGATTTTTAAAACTTAAGCATTATGCTGTTGTCTGTATATTATTTTTTAAGGAGGTGAAAATTTAAGAAGAAAGAAAATGATAAAACACAACAGGAAGAAGACAGATACTGAGGAATGGCTCATGGTGTAAGTTAGGTTATCAGAGACATTCTACACTGGAATCTGAAATGCAGGGAGTACATGTGGTATATGCTTGTAGAGGACTTAACACTGAGGGCATTCTTCTGCTACTCTTGCCAACAGATGAGAGGCTTCTGAGAATGCATACCAAATTAATTCCCCAGCTGTTCACATGCACAGAAGCAGCTGCTGCTGTTGCTGCCTGACACTTATGGTAGTCTGTCAGCACCTCTAATCTCTGCCACAGCAGACAAGCCACTCGAGTAAGGCTGCTGCCAGACTTCCAAAGACAGAATCTCGGAATTAAGAACCAGGTGGCACTAGACGGCCAGCTCTCAGCCTCAGAGCTGCTGGCTGCATGTTGCTGGGTCTATCAGCTGCTGAGCCATTCTTGCTAAAAAAAAAAATAAGCTTAACAAAAATACTCCTGTATAGAAATTTTCTGAAATCATGACAGCACTCGATACAAAGTAAGAGTCCAATCTACAGAAATCCATTTCACAGATGTTTTAAGAACACATCTATTTTATAACATAAGGCACATCTGTATGAAAAGAATTAAAAAGAGAGAAGAACCTATAGGAAATCAAAATAAAAATATTTACAAAGAATGTATCAGGAACTTAAACATAAAGCTTCCTCGTATTTTTACATGACAGTTTTACTTTGCAACTATGAAACACTAAGAAAGTTTTAAAAATATTAAAAAGTTATCTATAAACATCTCAAATTAAGATAAGATTCCTAATAGTATACTTTTTCAGATTTCTGTACTAATTACTTCCCTGAGCGGTTCAAAATCCTATGCTTTCTTCCTCGTTAAAGCAAAGGCACAGTTACAGACTATAATCATGGCTCTAAGGTGATAGTTACAATGAGAAGTGAACATATTAACTAAATATGCCAAAGTAATATATAAAGAACATTTAAAACAAAATTTTGGGTCTCATTTTTTTTTAAATGTGCATGTCTTTCTTATATTAGAATCAAACATAGCTACCAATTACTTAACTAAAATTATTTATTGTTAATATTAGTAATAGCTTTTAAAAGTACCTTGATCTCTGTGTTTCTAAAATTTTTCCCAGTCCATTTATTGATCTGAAATAAATATAAAAATGAGGAGGGTAAAAAAGTAAATGTTAACTTTTTAAAAAACCACTCCACATTATTTCTGAAACATGAAGTATATACAAGTATATCATACAGCTAGAGAAAAATAAACAATAAAAAGACTTACATTTTTTACAGTTTAGGTTTTTCCTTCTTATCATAAATCAGGTATATTCCACTTATGCAATCAAACATGATACGTAAAAATCTACTGACTCACTAGACACAACTGACAGACTAGAGACTATTTTGTGTTTACATAAAGACCCTTCACTTTAGAAAAAATGATTCATAAATAGCCAGTAATTCTAATGTTCTTGAAATGAGTAAATACATCAAACTTTTAACTGACACCTAATTTTCCTCAACACACATTGATGGAAATGGCTGTACACATGCTAGAAATAAAAACCTAGTTACGAGTGGCTTTGACCCCAGCCTGTCCTCAGTTTCAGTCACACACCTATTTTTTTAATGGAATAACTTCCCCAGTTCCCTGGCTAGGATCTCTATCGACTCTGCCGGTCCTCCCCTTTCTGGTACAGAGATAATGAAATATGCTTCCCTTTCTATGATGCCAAAAATATTTGTTAAATCCTTTTCAATATACTGTATAGTATCTATTTATATAATCAATTTCACTACCTTTAGGGTTATTTGCTGACAACATTTGCTACTGTTCTCGTGGGTAAAACTTCCCAAACAATGATACTGAGGCAAGACTCTCTACTAATTCACAAAACTCTTAATCTTCTCTTTTGAATATACTCTATAACCTGATAGCTATTACCTCTCAAATATGTTTACTTTCTTCCAACTCTTCAAATCTAATTCTGAGTCAGTCAGAAGTGTGAGGTACAATGGAGGGTAAGAAGCCCAAAGAGTCTGTAATTTATCAAAGTGCTTTGTCAAAGTCTTTTCTCGTATTGCTATACAGAACAGGCTGGCAACAACGTTCAACTGCATATTCTACAAGCAATGGAAAACAATTTTTCTTATTACTATTTACATAACAGTCTACTATGCAACAACAAAATATGTGATTCCCTGAATAGGTGATTCTGTGATAACTGAAGCAAGTCAATCTTGAACCTTAAATTTCTACAAGGCAACAGTTACAGTAAAAATATTCTGTACAATACATTTTTAATATGCAGGTACTTAACACACATTTCTAATTTTGTACCTAATAGTTGTTCTTAATTTGTTTAAATCCTCTTCTGAAACCAAGTCTGTTTTATTGATGATGATGATATCTGCCAAAGCAACTTGCCTAAATTAGCAAACAAAGAACAGATGTCAAGAGAAAGGCTAAGAAATGAAAAACAGAAAACACCTCCTCCAGATCAATTAGCAATTTAAAAGTATACAGTACTCTCTATAATAATTTGATTTACCCCTAAACTATTTATAATTCTTCAAATAGTAAGGATGAAGTGCATTCATCACTATGTAAATTAAGATTTCACATTATTCATTCAAAAAATATCTATTTAAGTATTCTTACTGGCTACTCTAAAACTATAAAGATAAGTCTCAAAAAGTTTACAATCAAGGATGGTTTATAATTAGGATGATTTTCAACTCATGATTTTCTCTGTAAAGAAATGCATAATTCTGATATCCAATATGGTAGGAACAAGGACAGTCTACTTATTAAAGTATTCCATGTAATAATTACCATAATTTTCAAAGAACAAGTTCACTTAACATTAATACTGTATTAAACATTTTTTAAAAACTACACTAAAGAAGATATATAAGGATCTTGAACAATTACCTTCATCATTACAAATATGTATTTTCTCTATAAGATAGATACACTATAGAAATTCAAGTTAAAGAATCCAGTTGATAGGATGCTGGATAACAAAATAGCTTACTGTGATTAGAAATTCTATTTTCTATGATTCTTTAAAATTTCCTCAATTCTTCAGGAAAGTTTAATCACTAGACTGCTTCCAGTATGGGTTTCCATAACAAATGCATTTTAATAAGAAAAAAAAAATCACAAAAATATTTAAGTTTAGTCTAATATGAATCATAGCTAAATACCAAATGAAGTGTTTAGCCAGGATTATAAAAGAACAGAGTACCATATTCCAAAATGACAGGGAATCAATCACCTGCTTGGATCATCTGCAGCAAAATCTTGGCTGGGAGAAGGGAGAGCTCCCTTTTAAATCCAAAAGCATATTCAAGGACTATTGAAAGTGAAAGTGAAAGTCGCTCAGTCATGTCCAACTTTTTGCAACCCCATGGACTGTATAGAATTCCATGGACTCCATGGAATTTTCCAGGCCAGAATACTGGAGTGGGTAGTCTTTCCCTTCTCCAGGGGATCTTCCCTGGGACGACTGCCTATTCCCAAACTCTTTCCCCATTAACAAGAATATGCTTAGGGTTGGCAAAATAATTTAAATATTCATAAGTCTAAAGAGAGGGCTTTCCAGGTGGTGCTAGTGGTAAAGAACCAGCCTGCCAATGCAGGAAACATAAGAGACATGGGTTCTATTCCTGGGTTGGGAAGATCACCTGGCGGAGGAAATGGCAACTCACTCCAGTATTCTTGCCAGGACAATCCCATGGACAGAGAAGCCTGGCAGGCTACAGTCTGTGGGGTCAGAAAGAGTAGGACACAACTGAGTAAGCACTGTAGACTAAGTCTAAAGAGAATCCAATCAGGAACATAAAGGTATTTAAACAAAAAAAGTTCTAAATGTCAAACTGCAACTATTTCTGTATTGTTTCTCTGCTGCACTGAATAACAGCCAACATTTGAGTCAAATGAATTACTGTGAAAGAAGGCAGGAAGTGAATCAACTCTTGTTTAACAATCATTTTCAATCCAAAGAAACTGTATGATAACAACAAAATATTTTTAAATGTTAACAATTTACAAGTTCCTCACAAAGAACAACTGGGCTCAGCACTCAGTTTATGCTGTAATATAGTTTTAAATAAAATTTTAGTTATCAGAACATTATAAATATCAGTAATTCAAACACAGGAAAAAGATTTTCCTTGATTATGTTGTTTCTCAGTTTGTTTTGTTTTTTCTACCAATAATCTCCTTTTTCCATTTAGCCAGTAATCAGTAAATACTTTAAACAAACGAATACCTAGAAGCTTCATTGATAAGTCCATCAGGTTTTTCTTCTGCTAAATGCTAAACAAAAACAAAATTTGAACAAAAGTTACTGTGGTGTAACACACAACCTAAAGTCAACACAAAGGATTTTTATTTCTTCCTCTAATAAAAACTTCGAGTTCTATTGGTGGTTTAGTCACTAAGTTGGGTCCGACTCTTGTGACCTCAAGGACTATAGCCCACCAGGCTCCTCTGTCCATAGAATTTTCCAGGCAAGAATACTGGAGTGGGTTGACATTTCCTTCTCCAGGGGATCTTCCCAATCCAGGGATCGAACCCAGGTCTCTTGTACTGCAGGTGGATTCTTTACCAACTGAGCTACCAGGAAGGTCCATTAAGTTCTATTACTGAATATCCAAATTCAGGACTAACTTTTCTATCTGAAACCATTTTCTTTCTCACTTGTAAATTTCTTCCTACAGTGAACCTGTGGGGTTTTTTGAGGGGAACGTGAGGAATAAGGGCTTAAATTTTGTCCTCTGACCTCTTCTTTTTCTTAAATGGAAAACCCTCCAGATTTAAATAATGTCATAAAAACAGAACATTATAGTTCAGAAATCAGGCATTTTCCTTTTTACAAAACTGTCCTTGTTCTAAATATTATTACTTTTTTTTTTAAAGAGATAACCACTGGAATTGTACTTTAATAGACTTTCCTCTATTCCGAGCCCCACCCCAGAACCAAGCACACTGTGAACTCGCACTGGGCCCTTCCAATTCCCTAGAAACAAATGATCTGTGGGAAGGACACAGTCTGATATTTAGCAAAAAGTCAGTTAACATTTTGAAACCTACACTTGAATGATCTGGCTTCTCTGGTTAACTTTATTCTGCACCTTGCCAGAGTCAAGCTAGCACCAAAAATACTTTGACAGAGAAGTCCACAGGACAGTTTTGATCTCTCTGGGAGTACATATTATTTTTCCAAAATCCTATTTATATCCCTAAAGTCACCAGTGTCATAACGTTCTCTAAAAAATGTTTCACCTTCATTACCTTAACCTTCAACAGATGTTCTCTGTCACAAGAAAAAGTTGCCTACTAATGTCAGAGGCAATTGATTATATAACATTTTTTGTATTTGAGTTGAACTCCACAAATTATTAAGTCCTTTTATAAACATGGTCTCATTTATCCCTAATAACAATTATGGGGAATGACTATTCTTAGTTCATAAAAGATAAAAGTAAATCTAACACTGTCACCATCACAGGATACCTATTCATAGGGTGATTTTTCAAAAATTTCAAGAGGACTCAATAGAAGTAAAATGAACATAAATTTTAAAACCTTTGTGAAAGCTTTTAATGTCATATAAAGTCATTCTTGTATGCTGCTGCTGCTGCTAAGTCGCTTCAGTCATGTCTGACTCTGTGCGACCCCATAGACGGCAGCCCACCAGGCTCCCCCGTCCCTGAGATTCTCCAGGCAAGAACACTGGAGTGGGTTGCCATTTCCTTCTCCAGTGCATGAAAGTGACAAGTGAAAGTGAAGTCACTCAGTCGTGTCCGACTCAGTGTCATTAATAACTGCATAAAAGTATATGCATAATGATCACCTAAAATTATATTCAAAATTATTTCATCAAATCAGTTTTACAATTCATGAAGAGGTAGATCATTAAGGTATTTGGATAACTGGAACCTAAGAGCAAGCTGGTAATCCTTTTATTTACTAGTCTTGGTAAAATCTATAGAGAAAAACTTTTTGTCTCCTAAAAGTTGGCCAAATTCTATTTTTGGGGAAACCAGTCTAAACTAAAACTAGAGTAATGATGCACTGATTCCACTTTAGGTGCAAAATAATACTACTATAGGTGCAATCCTATAAATTCAACTGGCAGGCTAGTCCACAGGGTTGCAAAAAATCAGACATGACTGAAGAAACTGAGGATGCATGCCGAATAGATGAGTGGACGTTGTTACCTGAAGAATACTGCACCACGTGCAGCAACAAACCCCGTTCTAGTCAGCAGGAAATTTATTTAACAAAGATTCATTTTTAGCAAGGCATCCATCTCAGAATAATCCTATAATACTCAATTCTTTAAAAATTTTGAAATAGTTTCAAAATATTGTATTTTGATCTTTTGGAAGATTTATTTACATATGAATTTGGGGCTTTTCAGCTGTGAGCTGGAGGAGTGTGAAAAAGATATAACAGGAAAATCAGAGATTTTTTTAATTTCCATACCTAAACTTAATAATATAGTATTTTCACAAAGTAACTCATGTTTTTAATACATCCAGTCTCCAGAAAATCAGAAATATTCACTTGAAACTAATGGGGCATCTAATCTATCTTCATAAGATTAGAAATTTTCACTCAAAGCTAACATGGACTGGACTAACGTTTTATGATCTCGAGGAAGTCAAGAGGCATCAAATACACAAACATATTAAAATTGCCCCAAATAAAAACCTACCAATAGGTACAATTCTATTAAGAATATGATATGTAATAAACATATAAAAAAGCCAAGAGATAAATGCCCCTGTTCTATGTAACTATGAAAGCTATACAAACATAAACAAATAATAAATGCACATTAACATTTATTTTCTCTGGCTATCAGCTCAACATTTCCTTTATGCAACTTCTTACCTTCACAAGTCAAACTCTGCAAAAAGACTAAAACCAATGTCTGCGATTCAAAAGGACATTTTCCAGTGACTTAAACCATCAGTCATTAAGTCAGAATACTCCCATTTACAAAGTTAAAAAATAGAAACTGTGACATTCTATCCTATCTGTACAGGTAAGGAAAAAAGAATTTTTGCAATGTTTTTTTAAAATATTTTATGTGTGTGTATCCCTAACAGATTCCTCATCACTGCTTAGAGACTGGCTTTTGCTTACATATCAGAAAAGATTTTAAAAAATTTGGCAGTATTCAATCCAACATATCAAAAAGGTTAAGGTTCCACTGTCTAACTTAGCATAGCATAAAAGTAAATCCTTTGAAATAACACCACTGTATGATACAACTTCAGGAAGGGTTTAGAGGGTGTCCTTTTCTACAGAAATAGAAACAGGCTGGTAGGAAAGAAAGAAAGTAAAAAACACTGTTTTGACCAAAGTAGAAAGAAATCTAGTGTCAAAGATGTCAGATGACACTAAAAAAAAAAAAAGCAGCGGCAGCTATTTCTGTCCAATGGATTGGTTATAGCTAACGCTATTTTAGCTTTTAAAAAAAGATTATTGCATAATGTCAGTCTATTTATTTTTCTGGTCTTTTCTAAGCCAAACTGTTTACTGACTGCATTGTTTCAACAGCTTGTGCAATTTAACAGAGGAACCAAAAAGAAACCTCTGACTTGACCTTTTCTGTGTAACTTCATTCTTTGATTCTATTGCATTAAATGCTGTCACATTTGTAGAACTGAAAAGGACAATGTCAGTAGCCTGGGTGTCAAGTCCTAAGAATAGAGAGCTGTCATTTGAAGTTGTCCAATTCTTTGCCCATGATTAAAAAATGAATATTTCAGATCAATGGGTGACAATCCCATTAGAGTGATAGCCCATGATATCAATTACCACTTCAGTTTCAATTTGGCTGGCTGGCCACAGGGTACCATTTCTCAGGTTTACTTGTGATGGGCTGGCTCTGTGAAGCATGACACCCTTAAATTGCTGCCCATTATCCAAGTGTCATTCCTTGTACTGCCTCAGAATTCTCTGAATCACAAGCAGCTCCTGAGGTCAAGCTTTGCAACCAGAGGGATTGGACAAGTTGGCAAATTCTTTATACAAAGGAAAAGTTATTTATTTGGCACCTGACTTAGAAAATCTGAAGTTTCCATTATCCTGACAGTATGTCAGTTTTGTGTAGGTATATTGATTTAATAATTTAAGAGGTTTTATCAAGGTGGCAGGGGGTTAAACGTTTACTGTGTTTGCATTATTCAGAATGTTGCTTTGCTTTTTTTGGCTTCTATCACACTCATAATAGATTCTATTTAACTCCCTTCCACACCCAAATATACATAAATACATAAAGAGTTTTATTTGGAGAAAAGCACTTTTAAGCCCATCAAAACAAACAAAAAATATCCTGCTGTCTATCCTGTAAATCTTCCAAATTTGGTAATAAACTTATATAGCAGATCGATTCAAACATACTCTTTAATAAACATTCAGAGTGAAGAATTTTGACTTGTTTTGTTTTGTTTTGCTTCTTCTGTAAACATTTTACTAGAAATATCATGATTTCAGGATAGCTGGAATATTTCAGAGTAAAACTATAATATTTGGGATCTTTCTTTGGTTCTTAAAGACTATTAATAAAATCTGACTTAACATCTAAAAAGGAATTATTTCCCAAACTTCGCAAATTAGGGTCTCTCTATTTCTGAGGGAACTGAAGGGCCGATGAAGGGGTACTGGTAACCCATTTAACAAGCCTGCCATCTTAATGTTATTGAAGGTTTGGAAGAAAGACAAACTTGTTCAAATTAAGAAATTCAGTTATAATGTGGAATAGAACACAAAATGGACGTGAATTTTAAAACATTACATTTAAACTTCTGAGAAATGATTACTCTGAGCATTATCCATATTCCCAGACCAGATCAAGAGATGGAGGATAATTTCATTCTCTTCTGCCTTTAGTAATAACTCAGAAAGTTGAGAAACACTACTTTATACAGCAATATGCATTTTAAAATCTGACTATTTTTCATTTTGTAAACTGAAGTTCATTTAAATGCATTTGAACACCTTGGTAAGCTGCAAAAACATTCACAGCAAGATGCCTTTTAAAGGGGAGTTTCTCCTCCCAAACCTAGGCATAAATCCTGATTTCTTCAAAATATGGCAAAGAAATATATTTTTAAAAAACTCAATCATCGCCAGCTTGTGTCTGACAGCAGTTTAACAAGAAAAATAAACTCTCATATGCTCATATCAAGCTCAATTTCCTCTATCAAACAGAAAGACTTATCAATATTGGGGCTGAATCCTAGGGAGGGATTACACATATCCAAACTTTGTGCTGTAAAGAAAGAAAAACAGAAGTCGCTCAGTCATGTCCGACTCTTCTCGACCCTATGGACTGTAGCCCGCTCCTCCGTCCATGGGATTTTCCAAGCAAGAATACTGGAGTGGTGTATCATTTCCTTCTCCAGAGATCCTATAAATTTTTCTTACTATAAATATTACACTTTCAACTTTTATCACATCAAGTCAGAGAAGGAGAAAACAAACAGTTAACTTAAAAATACAAAATAATAATTAAATGAAATACAAATTTCATCTATTGTTCAGGATACCTAAAAAACTACTTTTTTTTTTACCATATTTGCTTTATTCCTCTTCATGTTAAGTTCCCAAAACATGATATATTAAATTAAAAATGTAAATCACTGGCTTAATACACAGTTCTCTAATAATATTACTGCCATTTTAAAAAGCAGTATCTGGGGTGGGGAGGGAGGTGGGAGGGGGGATCGGGATGGGGAATAAGTGTAAATCCATGGTTGATTCATGTCAATGTATGGCAAAAACCACTACAATATTGTAAAATAATTAGCCTCCAACTAATAAAAATAAATGAAAAATAAATAAATAAGTAAAAAGCAGTACCTTTCATATTTACAGTGGAAAATTATTTTTGTTAAGGATATTTCAAACAGACACAAATATAGAGAAAACAATATAATCAATCCTCATATACCTAGCTCTTAACAAATAATTAGTAACTCACAGAAATTTTTCAACTTACTTTTAATCCATATTTTGAATCCACAACAGTTATGATACCTACAAAGGAATAAATCTTTTCATCATTTTTACTCTTAAAAATGAAAATTAAAACGAATGCATTTCAGTTCACAAATGTCACTCAATAAAATATTGTTTCTTTCTCTTTCCAGCACTGCAATTTAACTCCATTCCATTAGTAAGTAGAGGCATTTCAAACATGTACTTAGCCCTATTCTAAGGCACAAGATAGGATATAATGAAAACAAATGTTTAAAATTAAATAAACAAAAAAGAAAATAAGATTTGTCTGGCCTTTAAAAAGCTTACAATCCAAAATATGATGACATGAATTTCATAATGTAAACTGGAATGTGATAAATCACACAAGATAGCTTATCTTTAGTTTACTTTCACATAATCAAAAACAAAACTTTTCTTATTTAAAATACTGCTTAACAAATCTGAGGCATCTTAGAATATCTTATTTCTAACATCTCTCACCAATCTAACTCTTTAATCTAATTCTTTTTATCTAATTCTCACCAATCTAATTCTTTTATCTAATATATACCTGAATTTCCAAATGATCAATTAGTTGGGCAATCTCTGAATTTATATGCTAAATAATCTTTGGAGGGATAACAACAGAATGAGTTTGATGATGCCTAAGGAATTTAACCAACTACATTTCATATATATTAAGGCCAAATGATGAGGCCCAGTTTCATTAATTCTTAAAGTTCACCCCTTAGTCTAGGAAAACATGGTTTCCAGAAAGGCAGGGGATGTTTCAGGGGATATATGTGCCTAATTCAGAAATTTCTAATACATCTTAAAAGAAGTCAATGAACAAGACTGCCCAAAAGTGTTAGTGGGTAAGGGATAGGGAGCTTTGTTTAACTGTTACCTTCAAGGGAAGAGTAGAAATTTGATCCTCATACTATGTATGTTTTTTAAACTAAAGAGTTATATACTAACTGTATAAATTAAACATCAGGGAATATAGAAAATCTACATAGTATCTTAAAAGGAAAACCTTAATGGAAGCACTAAATTGGGAGTTGAGATTACAATGGACATCTGGTTCTAATCCTGTTTGGGACTTTAGAATCTGTTCAAAGACTTCATCATCAAACCAAACAAGCTTAAAAAGAGTATCAATACAAGGAATTAGAAGTATACAATGAATAAACAAAAATGATCTTAATATGAAAAATTCATTTCTAAACTTACCATCAAGATAAATATCAACCCCTAATTCAGCATCAACCCAAAACATAGAAGCTACAGCACCTGAAAATATATAATAATACTCATCAAATAAAAACATTTCTTCAAACTAGGAAACAAAACTCTATCCATAATGATTTAATCTGCCCCAATGGAATTAGCAGACAAATACATATACAAGTAAAATATGGGTTTTCAATCTACTTAAGGGAATTACAGTGATAGAACCATTTATTACTTTTATCCATTTCTTGCCCTCTCTTTTACTTCAATTGAAAAAAAGAACAGGTATTATTACATACAAATACAATATCAAGCTTTTACCAATGCCATAATAATTTACCAATAAATATTATCAAATATTTTGAGCAGAATGGCTATATGTACATAGGTCTTATTTTTATTTTCTCTCTCCTGAATACAATAATCATACAGCTCACAAATAAGTATTTCCCTAAAGGAAAACAAAGCAAATACAGATAAATCCAAAATCCGTTGTTCAAATTTTTTTGTAAATTTTCAAAAATTTAAGTTTTACAGAATAAAAGTATGACAAAATTAATTAAGGCCTTACTAATAAATCCTTACACTATTTATTAGTATGGTATATAAAATGTAGAGAATGTTTTGAGGAAAAATAATTTCTAAATAAGAAATTAAAACTTGTTTTTGATAGAAACTGGTTCAGCACCAAACCACACACCCTGATTAGTATGCCACAACACAAGAAAAAGAAAACTGACAGCAAAGAAAGAATTTGATTTTTCAAAGCATCAGAGGCCCTGTTAGTGACAGAGCTGTCTAAAAGAATGAGTATGGGGAGAAACAAGGATAACTGAGCTCATTCCAGTGTCTAAAGCTGTCCGCCCACCCTGACGAGATGTGGTCTCCCAAGCATCACTCTGTGGCAACCATGAAATACCTGTCAACTGTTCAGTGATTACTCATGCAGGATATAGCAAGGGCCACAGGATCTAATGGTTTCCTGATACCTATTGATTTTTTCCCAAAAACTTAATAGTTTTCCAATTTGACTGAAATAGGATTTGTGAGTAACAGGGGCTGAATCAATGCCTGTCCTTTTCAAGGAAATTACTTTACCATGACAATTATTTAGCTTAGGACCGGAGAGTGTCAGTCTTCTAAACAGGAAACAACTGAATTGCGAATAAAAATTTTCTTCACTTACTTGACTAACAACATGATTTTAATTAATGAAGGAGAAAAAGCAAATCTATTGTGAATATCACTATTCCAAATAATAAGTTATTTTAAAAAGTATTCATTTTTCCACTCAGTAAAATTCCTAACATTGTACACAAATATTTTTTAATTCACTGATTTCTATGCAGATAGCTTTTAAGTCCAATAGTTCACATTTGCTTAATATTAATTTGAGCTGTAAGACTGTATTAGAGCTTTTATTCTAAACCTGATGTGTATCTTTGGTTTAATACTTACCAAACTACATATGAAAGAACTACTTAAAATTTGGATGCAGGTGTTTAACAGGAGAAATAAAGACGAGAGAATGCAGTTAATCAGTGATTCTAAATCCAGGGTGATTTTTCTCCTCAGGGACTATTTGGCAAGGCTTGGGGAAATTTCTGGTCATCTCAACCATGGGAGTGTAGCTGGCATGTAGTAGGTAGAAGCCAAGGACTCTGTTAAACATCATACAATGCACAAGACAGTCCCCTCTAATAAAGAATTATCCTACCCAAAATGTCATTTATATCAAGTTAAGAAACTCTGAGCTAAATTACAGAATCTCCATTCTTCAAAATCTCATAAAACATAATAAACTAAAATTTTGAAAGTAAAATTTTATCAGCAGCAACCAAATAAACAATCCCCTGCCATAATTTTTGGATGACAGTAAAAATAAGAAATAGAAAGTTCTATGTGATTTATGATAGTTCTTACGTCTACCCCAAACCTCAACAAGAGTTATATAGAAATAGTTTACAAAATCCTATATTTATCATTTTATTCCAAAATCATGGGAAGTAGAACCAAGGGAGAAATAGGCAATACAGGAAAAGGTCAACAAAGAAACTTCAAGAGTAAAATTTTCTGCCTCCACATTTTCAGGGCAGAAGGTCACTTTCCAGGGCTCAGAGCAAAATGGAGAGAAAGGTCTGAAGCTCAAGGATGCCCCTACAAAAGGTATGGGAAAACTATTCACAAGTAGTTTGAGCTAATTCAAGAACGGAACACTTGGTATTGTGAGAGAGCAGAGCCTAAAATATCACACTGCCCATCTGTCTGTCTCAACCACATCTTTTCTGTTTCCCCACCCCTCAGCAATACCTAGCTTTCAAACTGATACCTAAGAGACCAGCAAGTTTAGGTAATATGGGTAGGGTATTTTAAAAATTCATGAACACCACATCTAAGTAGAGACAAGTTCTCTGAGTCTCCCACATTAAGCATAAACACAGTGAAAAAATTATGCATATATATTACAGTTTAGGAGAAGCAAAAAGAAGATAAAAGGAGGAAAGGGAAAAACAAACAAATAAATGGGGAATACCAATGGCAAAGAACCTGTTCTGGAAGGAAACATAATTGAAGAAATGAAAGAAAATTTCCAAGAGGTTTTTTTTTTATAATAAGGAAGATAAAAATAATATAATCTTAAATAAAAACAAGCGCTGGGAATTTTCCTGGCAGCCCAGTGGTTAATAGACAGCACTTCCACTGCTGGCCATGACCTAGGTTCAATCCCTGGTCAGGAACTGAGATTCCACAAGCTGCGTGGCATGGCCAATAAAATTTTTTTTAAAAGAGCAAAAAGAAACAAGTAAAACTAATTTTTTTTTTTAAGGCAAGAATTAAAAAAAAAAAAAAACAAGCTCTAAAGCAAAATAAAGCAGAATAATGTGAAAAGGTAGTTTGGAATGCTAAAGAAATAAACTTAAGGCCAATATACCATTATTTAATGAATTCATTCATTTAAAACATCAACAGACATTGATGGAAACAGAATTACTGATAAAAAGGAAGATTTGAGATGATTACAGTAAATGCAGAGGCAAAAGGCAAACCAAAACAATTAGAAGATAACAAATAAGGAGAACAAATGAAAATTCAATGTAAGAAAAATTGGTGTTTTAAAGAAGAGAACTCAATAATTTGACAGAAAAATTCTTCATGGTAATAAATAAGGAAAAAGTTCCTAAATGAAGCACTAAACCTACAAAAAAGTATATTGTAATTCCAGGAAAATATGAATGATACTGAGATTAGCCAAGTCATCCCTCAAATATTAAATAAAAAAAAGAACAAAAACATTCTCAAGCAATGAAGTATGCAAGATCTCCAGGAATACAAGACTGAAAGCTTGAAAAGATTACCAGACCATACGTGCATGCACGCATGTGTGCTAAGTTGATTCAGTTGTGTCTGACTCTGTGACTCTGTGTAGTGTGCCAGGCTCCTCTGTGCATGGGCTTTTCCAGGCATGAATACTGGAGTGGGTTGTCATGCCCTCCCCCAGGGGATCTTCTCAACCCAGGGACAGAACTCCAGTTTCTTATGTCACCTGCAGTGGCAAGAGGGTTCTTTACCACTAGTGCCGCCTGGGAAGCCATGATCATGAAGTTCAGCCAATCAAGGGACTGATCACCTCAGGAACTCACAAGTTACTGCGCTGGTAATGACAACTGAAATGGTTTAAAGACAGAACTAAGCAAAGTATGACAGAATATAAATGTCAGAAACCTTGACAACGTAGCAAAGGAAACAATGAACCAAAACCAGATAGGAGAACATGGTAATGTGTTAATTCTCTCATCCTTTATGCCAGACAGTCAACAGATACTAACCTGAAACTTTAAATGTGTAGTTAAAAAAAATAACTCGTCCAATTTATGTCCTTTATAATCTTTTATTTTTTTAACTCACATCTCTAGCAGTGAAGAAGTATTTATCTGACATTCAGCAATTCTTTCACTTCTTTCAAGTTCTCTTCTAAGTGAAAGTGAATTAATAATTATTAAGAATAGCACCCAGAATGTGATCTTATTTTATAGAATTACCTTGGCATATTTACACAAAAAGCAGACTCTCCCAAACTTACACATGGGTGAGAATCACGTGGGTGGCCTAACAGATTTCTGAGTCCTGCCCTCAGAGATTCTAATTCCATAGAGCTGAGATGAAGCCCAAGAATCTGTATTTTTCCAAAGCTCTCAGCTAAGGCTGATGCTGTCATTCAACACACCACAGCAAGCAGCCCTGGCACAGAGAAATCTTGGAATAAAACTTTCCTGTTTGTATTTTACAGTAATGAGACACAGGGCAACATTTTTTTTTAAACTTTCTTCTTTGTATTTTCTTAGGTACTATTGCATTTTTTTTTAATAATCAATGTTTCATTTTTAACCAAACAATAAAAGTCATTATTCTAAAGAAAGAAGAAAACATTCATCCGTTTATACCTACAATCTGTGCAAAAGCTTTCTTTGAGATTTTTATTTAATTTTTACTTCCTCTGAAAAGCCGAACTGTGTTTTAGTAAATTGACCTACTCTCAAAATCATAAGAACTTTTCTCTATACAGTGGCTATGACAAAAGACATTGATACTTTATTTCAAAAAAAGGCACACAGTATACTTCCCTATCTTACCAGAGTTAAATTAATATTTAACATCAATGTAATGGTTCAAGTCCTATCATCAGTTAGACCTCTTGGAAATGTATGAAAATGTATGAAAAATCCATGCCTAGTATCAATATAAGGACCAAAAAAGCCCAACTCAATCCTAATTTGAAAACACAGGTACAATGTTATTATTAAATAATTCAAAATAAATTAACAATTGATTACAGTGAACCTTCAGTGCACTCCAGTATTTCTTTTAAACAATTATGACCCCTTAGTTCTTTAATATGATTTTATGTGCAGTGTCATAGACTTAGATGAAAAAAGAAATGGGTCAGACTTACAAAACTAAATGTTCTGCAAACTAGGAATAAAATGTTACCTAAAAGTTATTTGGGTAAGAAGGAACAGAAACCCATGGTTAGAAACAGGTAGACTTTGTGTAGCTTTCAACAGGGAAGTTTAGATGTAATTCCACTCAGAGGTAAAAACCTCATAGATAATCATTATTAACTCCACACTAGAAAAGACCCAGTAGGGTTTCCCTGATAGCTCAGTTGGTAAAGAATCTGCCTGCAATGCAGGAGACCCCAGTTCCATTCCTGGATCGCGAAGATCTGCTGGAGAAGGGATAGGCTACCCACTCCAGTATTCTTGGGCTTCCCTTGTGGCTCAGCTGGTAAACAACCTGCCTACAATGTGCAAGACCTGGGTTCGACCCCTGGGTTGGGAAGATCTCCTGGAGAAGGGAAAGGCTACCCACTCCAGTACTCTGGCCTAGAGAATTCCATGGACTGTATAGTCCATGGGGTTGCGAAGAGCTGGACATGACTGAGCAACTTTCACTTTCAGGCTTGATTTAACTCTACACCTTATAATAACATTTACAATTAAAATGATTTCAAGCTTAGTAGTAGAAAAACAAATGCTAACAATTAATTTAAGGGAATAAGTATTTCTGGGATTTAACTCCAAAAGTCCTTAAACATATACCGGAAGTAGAATGTCTCCTTTTTTCCTATGTTTTATTAGATTTTTCTGAAAGTTTTAACAACTCTTCTTCCTACCAATAATCCTAAATCAATTGATAGAAATTGAAATGCTATTAACATGTTGAAATTATCTAATATTTTAATCATTGTTCATCTGCCAAAGAAACATGACTCAGTATTTTTTCTCCTTTAAATCAAAACAAAGGAAAACAAAAAATTTAATCTAGAGTAAAGCTTTAATACTCATTCTATATATTTCTCTAGTATATTTATTTTAAAATGTTTAAGAACTATATTTTGGTTTTTAACAATGACATTTCTTACCAGGATCTGCTAATCCGGTGGTCTCTAACAGTATGTAATCAAATTTCCCTTTCTTCTTCATCAAATTCTCAATAGCTCTAAGGCCATTGTCCCTGGAGAATACCAAAACATGACATACAGTTGATTGCCTGAATATTTTAAAGTGATCATCACAAACATTTAAAAATATATTTAGCAACCAGGGATAAAAATATCTTCAGGCATGCAAAAATTTACTTCACTCCCAAGCTTCTAACAACATGTCTATCTAGTTTCATCAGTTTTGGAGAGTGGAGAGGAATGGATGCACATATGTTGACAAGTAACAAGATATTAGCTATAAGCAGAGGGAATTTTAATTTACTGGACTAAAATAAGTCAGAACCTGTTATTTTTATAGCTTTATGAAAGAAAAAGGTCAATACAGAAAATGACAAAATGTATGAATTACAGTAGCTTAATAGAACAGCTAAATACCTACAATTTTATTTATATACCTACCTTTTATTTCTGTTCTGAATTAGGGTAGTAGGATTTAATTTCCATTTTTTCTTAGTAATATTAAAAACACAAGAAAACATTTAATTTTAATTGGCTAAGAAGACCTGTTGAGATTTAGCCTTCATAATACACTGACTCACAGTCAAAACATCTAAGATAGTAAATGATGCAGAAGAAATATAATTCACTGGACTATACAACATCAACAACACAGGTATTAATTTTCATAATTTGCTCAACAAACTTTTGAGTGACTACTATGTGTTATTCCTTTTCTAAGAGGGGTTATATTGGTGAATAAAACATTCACCATCCTTGAAACAACTATCATTGATGGAACATGAAGTGAGGGTTTTTCTTTTTTGGGGTCATTTATATTGTTTTTAGAGGTTGAAATCTTGGAAATAAGACCAATAACTTATTACATTCAGAATAATCATTTTTTAAACATAAAATGAGACTTGCATGCACCACAGGGGTCATTAATTAAAACTTGATGTCAAAAACAACAACAAAAATAAAATTCAATAAAATGACCACAGCATTAGAGCTAAGACAATGAGGAACACTTTAAGAAAAACACTTGGTTCAAATAACTAGATATGCAGACTTATAATGTCTTTTAGTCTTAATTCCCTTATATGTTCAGAAGTTAAAATAATATTCACCTGCAAGATCTATATTGTGAATTAACATGATTATCAAAAACAACTAACAAATGTCCGAGTACCTAAAATTGAGACTATATTTTCCCTTAATCATTATGTGTTAAACGTTTAGCATTTAAGGAATAAGATCATTTTAAAAATGAAAAACAAAAGCCTGCTATTTATCTCTTAAAACTGAATTAATGTGAATAACTGAGAAATTTAGCAAGGAGCAATATTCGTGAGAAGTCCACAGTGACAACACTGCCCTAATGTATGGAATAGTATTAAAATTAATCAATTTCCATCTGTTAAAAAAGAAAAAGAAAATACATCCTAATAGGTGTATCTTCTATTCAAAATACAATGAAGATTATGAAGATTCTGTTAATTTATGGAAGAAAATCAAAGCTAGAAATATAACCAATAAACATTTATAGAAGCCAACAAGCACAGAGTATATTCTCACTTTACGGAACAGCAGAGGCAACCGTTTCTAAGTTCCAGCCATTCTTCGTAGAGTTCTCCACCTTGGCTGACAGCTAAGGATTTCTCCACTGCACTTCCTAGAATAATTAACAGGAAGCACTCTTTAGATTATGTCCACTCGTCAATCAAAAACAAAGATGAGAATACTCAATAGTACAGCAGATTTCAAAGCAGAAAAATATATTTCATAATTTGTATTCTTTCTGTTCAGGCTATCTCAATATTTTAAACTATACTACTCTAGATTATTTTATTTTTTCTTTCTTTAAGAGGATTTAAGCCCCTAAAGAGACAACTGCAAAATTAATGAAAGTTATCTACTTCCTCTGTAGGCCTCTTACTAGACTGCTCCCATTTTCTAATAAAATTGCTATTTTAAAGGCATTCTTTGTTGTCCATGGCCAATTCTCTAGACAGACCAGTATGTTTATATGTTGGTTTTTATACATATGCCTTTCAGTCTCTTGTGTATTTTTTTTTCATTCTTTTTCTAAATTGTTTCAGTGTCTACTAGACAGATTGTTTAGCATTCCTGTATGAGTAATACCCATAGTTCATTTTAAGGAAGTTTGCTTGGCCAGGGTACCAATGTACTCACTTAAAAATTAAATTTTAATCAAATACACACATGTTTCTTAGCAATGCTTACTAGAGAAAAAAATAAAGTATATATGAGAGTTTGAGATGCTTGTTATCAAATAAGAATGATTTTAAAAATCTTACATTTCCTCCAACAAAGAAACATGCCCAAGCCAGGAAAGTTCTAAATATCCATTAAAGCAAATGATAAGGAAAAAAAACTGAATAATTTTTCACTGATATATATATTATGTTTAAGTTTTAGTTAGGCAAGGGGTTGCTACAGAACTTAGGGTGTAGAGAACATTTATAAAATGAAAAGGAAAGTACTACAAATGCTCTAAAGGACAAAGCTGTTTAAAAAAAAAAAGGTCCAGAAAGACTGAAGAAAAATAGTAACACATGATAATAAATGTAATCAGGGTCCAACAGAAAATCAGTTCATAAGAGGTTAAAATAAAAACTAAGATTAAAAAAATCTTATGATTTTTATTTTTGTCTGACAGGACTCCTTAGTTTACTGAAATCCTCTTCAGTTTATTCAAACCAGAAATCAAGTTCAACTAATAGGCCTCACATTCTTCTCATAAACTTAGTTCCTTTATTAATTTGCAACTGAAAAAAAAATAATTTAAGAAAAATTCAAATGAAGTTATATTTTTTTAGCTAAACATGAGCTTTTACTGAAATTCACACCTGAGAAGAAAAACTTATAAAAGTATTCAGAGAAGTATGTCTAACACTGCTGTATAAATTTCTTAAAACACAGTTCAGTGAAGACAAAAAACTGGAAAATACACATATTTTCACAGATAAGTGAAGTTGCCTGAGGATGGAGATCACATATTTATTTTCTAAGCCTTCTGTTTTAACAGCTTTGAAGAATAATAAACATTCAATAAGATAAATTTATAAGACAGAAGTATTTTCAAATATTTTCAAAACCTGCAATTAAACAATATAGTCAGCACAAAAGGATCTTCCTAATTGGTACAAAAATCTTCCTGAAAGATTTTCTTTCAACTCCTTAGATTTTTACTTCTGGAGTATTTATGTAAAAATCTAATTAATTCTGCTGGTATGAATTCTAAAGTTATACAAAATAAAATTTTATAGAAACAATCTGATTTCAGTATCTCAACTCCATACAAAATAAAGCTTGACATAAATGAACCTAATTTTTCCAAACCTATCCATAGCAATGTGTTCACATGATAATACCTTACACTTTCATTTCTGCATATGGAATATCAATTCACCAGCTGAATTAACTATTCAATACATTCTTATAGCATGGCATTTATTGAACTTTACTTACCTTCCCCAAATTCATTTAAAATCACTGCTATTCTTTTACTATGTTGCTCTGTCAAAATATAGTTAAGAAGTGTTGTCTTCCCAGCACCTATAAAATACGTTTGTTTTAAATAACAAAAGTCAAAAGACTAATTTTAAAGGGACAAAAAAGTTTAAAGAGTCCTAATGCTCTTTAAAATTTGCATGTTATTCAAATATTATTTAACGATGGTAATATAAGATTCTAGAGGAAAAGATTAAAGTACCCTTTGAAAACTATTAAAAATGCTTTATGTCTTATAAAATTTTACAAATATTTACAAACACTCCAATAAGGTGACTCACATACCTTTCTTTGATCTCATATGACCAAAAAAAAAAAAAAGTCTTCTATATAACTTAAACAATGTCAGGTTATCTAAATTTTCTATTAAATAAGGAATTACTGAAGTAATGGTTCCTGGGGAATAAAGTAGCCATTTAGTTTATAAAACATAAAGTATTTAAATCCCTTTACAGGATGACAGTGTTTCTTAGCCAAGAATAGTTTACTTCCCCAAAATGTACACATAAAGACCTACCTTTTATTTTAACCACATACAAATTCGGAATGTCTATATGGCTGTTTTTAGTATGCTTAAAGCAGTCTATAAAACTGATTTGACACACACACAATGGCGAATGGACCTAGGAAATGTTAACAAAAGACACAATAATCACATACATAGAAAAGTTCATATAGCTACACTAACTCTATCCAGTAGGTGGCATAATACACCTAAATACATTCAGCTCAAGCAGAAGGAAAAAACATTGGTCTTATGAACATCCATAGAGGGGTAAAAAAAAGATAAATAACCAACCTTAACTGCATATAGATAGTAGTGTAGTCAATTATATAAAAATGTAATTTATTTACATATTTTTCTGTTGGTGGGCATTCAGATTGTTTCTAGTGTTTTGCTATTACAAACAGTGCTGCTAAAAAGAACTTGTGTACATGCATACAGATTGTACATATCTTCTGCAGTAACTTTACAAGATTTCAGGGTATAACTAGGAGGGACTTACTGAGTAGTAGGATATTAATACCTTCAACCTTGGGGGCCATATTTGTATAAAAGTTGTTGAAGGGATGTAAGGCTTGTGTTCAGAGGGATTTAGGAAGCTCAATATCACTAAAGGTCAATACTCACAATGGAAGGAACAGATCTTAAGGACACAGAGCAATAAGGACATTCTTAAAACCAGTCCAAATGTGAGACAAGGGCCCTGAGCATGAGCGCTGCACTAAGCAGTGGCAGTGAAAATGGAAAGGATGAGGTGGCCATGGAAGGCTTTGTAGAATTACTAGTGCTTTATAGATAACTATGTGTTTGTGTTCAGTTACATCCGACTCTGTTCATGGACTTTTCCAGGCAAGAATACTGGAGTGGGTTGCCATTTCCTACTCCAGGGGATCTTCCTGACCGAAGGATCGAAGCCGCATCTCCTTCAATAAGGGTTCTTTACGGCTGAGCCATCTTATCAGGAAGCAAAAGCTAAGACACAGTTCAAGCACTCAAGTCTGCTATGGACCAGAGTTTATACTGAACCTTAGTGAAAAGTGCACAAGACACAGACAAACTGTCTCTATCTTCATGAAGTTTAGAAACATTAAGGGAAGTGGAAGAAAGAGGGGGAATTCAGATCAGTAAAGAGGCAACCATGCCACAAGATGATACAGTCAACAGATGTACAAGATGTCGTGGAGCACCTAAGAGGGACATCTAGCCAGAGGACTAACAGTAAGAAGAATGTCCTCCTGGGGCCAAAGCACTTGCTCTCTTTAGAAGTAAAAGGAGTTCACTCGGCTGGGCCACAGATTCTCAGGCTAAAGAAGTTGTCAAGAACAAGATTATAAACTCATGTTAAGGAATCTGAACTATAACCTGAATAGAAACTGCTGAAGGGTGTGACAAATCAGATTGCCATACATAAAGATCACTAAGGCTAAAATACAGAAAACATATTAAAAGGCAATATGACTCAAGACTAGTTAGGAAGCTTTTATAATATTCCAAATGGTTAGGATCACAGAAGCAACCACCATTCACGAAGGGATGCTAACATGAAGTTTTGGACATGCAGAGTTTGACATGTCTATGGAACATCAAAATAGAAATCACCTGGATATGAAGTTAAAAGAGAGGACAGAGAAAGGATTAAAAAAAATTTTTTAAGGGGAAGCCAGAAAAGTAGGTGGAAAATCAGAAGAAAAATGTGATAGAAACCAAGGGAACAAAAATGCTCAACAATAAGCAGGGAAACCATCTCCGAGATTCAGGAATGAAGTTGGTAGTGTGAGGCCTCACTCCTAAGCTTCAGACCATTTTATCTGCAGCGCTCTTCTGATCTACCGGTGAGCAAAACGGGGAAGGTGGGGAAGGCAAGTCTAAACTATATTGTTTCAGAACAAAAATTTGCTCAACTTCACAGTGAAACTGCATCTGAATAACACTGGGGAAATTCCTTTACAAATAAATAAACTCCTTTATAAAATTAACCCTGAGTAAAAATGAAAATAAATTTAAGTCTACAAAGCAAAAGAGAGAGAGAGAGAGACGGAGTCATGCCAGTGATTTAATTCCTGTTTTTATGTAAAAGGCCCTCAGGTGCACCAAGTTTATACTTGTCTCTAGCAGCATCCAGAAATGGTTCTCTTTTCCCCAGATCATTTCACTTCTTTTCCCCATACTTTTAATATGGTATTTATTCTAGCCCTTCTATTTAACTGTAGTTTTAAAATGATACTTCTCAAACTTTTCCAATAAAGTACTCCTAGTATAAGCACATAACCCGTCCTTCAGGAAACTGCTCTGTTTACAAAGTTATGAATTAAGTGACCCCATGAACTCCTGAAAAGTCCTTAAGTTTGAGAAATAGTCTCGGAGGACACCGTAATTTTATTCTCTTTCTCCGACAGTACGTTACAAACAGATATTTTTTTTAAAAAAAAAAAGGTTGCGACAGAGTATTTTACACGAAGGCAAGAAGAAACTGGCTGGTGGGGAAGGGGAATATACTGAGGAAGAGCCCTTGGGCGTTTTCAGAAAGGACACCTTTAATGGGAACCTACTTATAAAACATACGTTTCTTGCCCCACTAAGCACAAGAGAAAAGCAAACTGAGCCAGGTGACTGGTATTTTTCCATTTTCAAGAGAGGCAGTGAACTTCAGAAATTCAACTTGTTAGGGGTCACGTGCATAATGAGGGGCGGGTCCGTGCTTCACACTGCAAAGCTAGAACTAGTTTTAAAAATGCGAGGCTAATTTTCAACCTCAGTTGATAAATGTGACCCTAACGCGGAGGGGTATGAGCATCATTAACCCATGAGAAGAGAAGGCACCCGTATGGGGAGCAAGTGACCCAGCCCCTACCCTCAGAGACATTGGCCGTCGGCCAGAAGGCCCGAATGCCTGAGGAGAAGGGGCACCATCAGCCCCCAAATCCCAGAACAGCGTTCACTGAACTTTCTGACCGGGATAGTTGTTAGTTACCTAAATACCCGGTGATAATTGTGACTGGGATCTTAGCGCCGGGGGCAGACTTTTCCTCCTCCTCCTCCACCTCTCTTTGCTTCGTCTCAATGGGGACCAATTCAGGACAATCCTCTTCCGCCTGCTCCTCTTCCTCATCCGCAGAGTCAACAGCACGAAACATCTTGCAAACACCACAGCTCACCTCTCCCTACCCTCAGGACCTCGGATGAAGAACCCTCACAGCCAGCAGCTGCGCACGCAGAACGCGAGGCGCGTGTTCGACGTCATCACTTCGCGACGCGTGGCGGTTCCGATCCCGCCCCCAGTTACCTGGGCTCAGGACCGCCACGCCTCTTAGACACGCCCCTAAGAGAGCTGGGCACGCCCCTAGGGCGTGCTCTATGAACGTGGGCGGAATTGTCAGGACCGTACCTGATAGTGTACGTGTGAGACTGCAGCCTTTATAGCTAATGGACGGTTAGTGGCAGTGTTGAGGCCTTGAGACCAGGGCGGTTGGAATCTGAAGAGTAGCCCGTCCTAAACAGCTCCCGCCGGGAATAGGCTACATCAACTTGACATTTCTTAGTATCATTAAAAATATTTTTTTAATTCATAGGAGAAAGAATAGGAAGCTGTAACAGTACAAAGGTAATTGTAATTTTTCTACCTGAACCAGTGAAACTTTTTTCTGTTTTATAATCGCAGGTTTTATGTTTATCCAAATTTTTACTGTGTACGTGCATTACTTTTATTTATTTTATCATCTCATTTTTAAAAATTTGGTCTCAGTTACCCTGAGTTCAAGCTTCCTTGGTGTCTCAGACCATAAAGAATCTGCCTGCAATGCAGGAGACCTGAGTTCGATCCCTGGGTCGGGAAGGTCCCCTGGAGAAGGGAATGGCTACCCATTGCAGTATTCTTGCCTGGAGAATTCCATGGACAGACAAGCCTGGCAGGCTATAGTCTGTGGAGTTCAAAAGAGCCAGTCAGGACTAAGCAACTAACACACCCTGAATTCATTTATTCATACATTCTTCAGTGCCTGGCACTGTCATCAATAATCCATAGATAGTCTGGACAAAGAATGCCACCTGCCATATCAGTAAACAAAGTTTTTTGCAGACATCAAGTCATTAACCTCTGTAGCTACCCCAGCAGTGCACCCTAGGGGGATTCAAAGAGGAGGAAAACAGGATACTGGCCCTGGGTAGTTAAGGTATATATCAAAGGAATGATTTAATTAAGCCCAGACTCTTGTAACTTCACACACAAAGAAAAACCACTAAATTTTTTTGCGTGCTAAGTTGCTTCAGTCACGTCCAACTCTTTGAGACCCTATGGACGGCAACTTGCCAGGCTTCTCTGTCCATGGGATTCTTCAGGCAAGAATACTGTAGTGGGCTGCCATTTCCTACTCCAGGGGATCTTCCTCATGCTCCCAAGCTTAAGTCCTCATGAATAAAACATAATTCTCAACTTTTAGGCTGTGCGTTTTTTTAAGTTGGCAACAGCCCTGCTTTATATTTACATATATATTTATGTATATTTGAAATGAACGCCTTTGACCTCACTTCTAACCCAAGAACAGTACCAAGAAGGACAGCTATTCATGTGACCATTCATTCCTAGTCTAATGCTCTACCTCTCCTCTGAGATAGTAACCACTACTGTGAATGATCATGGCTGACTTATTTCCTCTTTTCTTTTTAGTTCTATCACTTATATAAATATGTACTTAAACAATATGTTGTTTAATTTTTTCTTGTCTTTGAATTTCATATAATATTCTAGGGTTAGCTAATTTTTCAACTCCACTGTTGTATTATATTGTTACATGACTCATCAGCAATTTATTTATGCGTTTCCTATCAGTCATTTTCAGGTTTTGCTCTCATGAACTGCATTGAGTGACCCTTCAGCATTGCTTCCTAAACAGAAAAAAACTGTTTCAACCCTAATCACCTTCTCTTAAGTACTCCCCAGGCAAGTTCTTGCAGATTCCCTTACATGACTCTGGCTGAATGTTACACTAACATCTCTTATCTCTCACCAGGAGGAACCAGTGCCCTATAGCAACTCAGTAAGATGATGGACAAGTATGCTGTAACAGTATGTAGCTTCAGTCAGAGCAAAAAGTTTTATACAGCAGTCAAAATGTCCATCAACTGGCGCGCGTGCGTGCCGGCGTGCGCACTTGCGTGCGTCCCGGTTTAGTGCGGTACCGGCCCAGTGGTCACCGGTGCAGAAGTGCTGACGGAACGGGCCGAGGCTGGCCGTCTGTGGAAAGAGAGGCGAGGTTCAGGTCTTCTACGGTTGCAGTGAAAGTTTCTTGAAAATCTTGTTTTGATTGAGTCTTTAATATATACAACATAAAAATGGCTTCAAAAAGAGCTCTGGTCATCCTGGCTAAAGGAGCAGAGGAAACGGACATGGTGATCCCTGTAGATGTCATGAGGCGAGCTGGAATTAAGGTCACCGTTGCAGGTCTGGCTGGAAAAGACCCGGTACAGTGTAGCCGAGATGTTGTCATTTGTCCTGATGCCAGTCTGGAAGATGCAAAAAAAGAGGGACCTTACGATGTGGTGGTTCTGCCAGGAGGTAATCTGGGTGCACAGAATTTATGAGTCCGCTGCTGTGAAGGAGATACTGAAGGAACAAGAGAAGAGGAAGGGCCTCATCGCTGCCATCTGTGCAGGTCCTACAGCTCCGCTGGCTCATGAAATAGGTTTTGGAAGCAAAGTTTCAACACACCCACTTGCTAAAGACAAAATGATGAATGGAAGTCATTACAGCTACTCCGAGAACCGTGTGGAGAAAGACGGCCTGATCCTCACCAGCCGGGGACCAGGAACCAGCTTCGAGTTTGCTCTGAAGATCGTCGAGGTGCTGGTCAGCAAGGAGGTGGCTGACCAAGTGAAGGCTCCGCTGGTTCTTAAAGATTAAAGTGGAGAGGCTCGATGATGGGTCAGAGAGACAGGCCATTTGTAATCCAGTCTCATTGTGTTCACTTTTAAAAGGGGGGCAGTCATTGTGCAGAGTAGCCGTCTTCCTCACTCCCTCTCTGTCCATTTGTGGCTCTGAAATGACAGCTATGGAGAGATCCCATTGTATCCTCCCATTTCTGAGCCTTGATTGCAGAATAAACAGGGCATTTAGCAAAAAAAAAAAAAAAAGTCCATCAACTGATGAATGGATAAACAAAATGATATATCCCTATAATAGAAAATTATCTCACAATGAACAGAAATAAAATACTGATACCTGCTACAAGGGACTTCCCAATTGGCTCTAGTGGTAAAGAACCCACCTGCCAAGGCAGAAGATATAAGAGACACAAGTTCAATTGCTGGGTTGGAAAGATCCCCAGGAGGAGGGCATAGCAACCTACTCCAGGATTCTTGCCTGGAGACTCCCAGAGAGAGAGGAGCCTGGTGGGCTACAGTCCATAGGGTCCCAATGAGTTGGACATGACTGAAGGGACTTAGCATGCATGCACCTGCTGCAAGATGAATGAACCTCAGAAGCATTATGCTGAGTGAAAGAAGGCATTCACAAAACACCACATGTTGTTTCACTCCGTGTATGTGAAATGTCCAGATAGGCACATCTATAGAAATAAAATTGATTAGTTGTTACCAGACACCAGGGGACTGAAGGCAGTGACTGCTAATGGGTACGTTTTGGAGGTGATGAAAATGTTCTACAATTGCTTGTTGGGCATGGTAGCACAATTTTCTGAATGCACTATAAACCACTGAGTTGTACCCATTAAATAGATGCATTGTTCTGTATATGGATTTTACCCTAATAGAGCTGCTATTTTAAAAGGCTTCTGGAAATTCCCTGGATGTCCCGTGGTTAGGACTCTGAGCTTCCAATGCAGGTGGGTCTGGATTTAATCCCTGGTCATGGACCTATGATAAATAAATTAAAGTATTTTTAAAAATAAATTAAAAAGACTCCTCCATGCATCAAAATGTGGTGGTGCAAGTGTGTGTGTGTGTGTGTGTGTGTGTAGAAGCACTGCCTGCGGTCTTGCCTCCAGCAGTTTCAGCCCTGGCCTTCTGAGTAGAGTTATCATTTGTTGAGATTTCACAACTGAGACATACTTTGGTATGAGTATAAAGATCAGAGCTAAAAAGTTTTCCTTTAGTCTTTTTCCATAACATCCTTCAGCAAGATGTCTCTTCATGAATTCTATGGAGTTCTACCACTTTCTTTTCTGACTCTAGTACCTGGCCAGATTTTAGGAAGCTTGTGCCTGAAGAGGTAAGGGTTTTGACTTAGTTATAAGGCTTTTGATTTCAACTCTTCCTGCATATATGAGTCTGTCTGCTTTTTGTTGTTGTTCAGTTTCTAAGCTGTGTCCGACTCTTTTTTTAGTATATGTGCTGCCGAAGCGAGACTGTGTCCGACTCTTTTGGGACACTATGGGCTTCTCTGCTTATGGGATTTCCCAGGCAAGAATACTGAAGTGGGTTGCCATTTCCTTCTATTTTCACAGGACCTACCAATTTTATCCATTCTGAGTGAGACATTGTTGTTGTTCTTTAATTCAAAATGCCTTTTAAAGTAAGCTTTTAAAATGTCCTAAGTATAATATTGTAGAATCTTCAACACAATCTCTTCTATTCTGCAATCTATTACAGTCTATTCTAATGTTAACTTTAAAATTCCTCATTTTTGCAGTTTTATTTAATCACAGTTGCTATGGTAAAACAACAGCAATGATAATGTGTGGATTCCTTACTGAGTGATAGGCAGTATGTTAAACATAGCGAATGTATTATCTCATTTAACTCAGCAAGTTAAATATAATTTGTATACTCATTTTATAAGCAAGGAAACTGAGGCTTAGAAAAGTTAGATATCTTGCTCAAAGTCATACATTCAGTAAATGGCAGTCCTATTGCACAGTTCAGAACTTCCTGACAGTAAGTTCTGTGCTCTTCTAAACCAGGGATCTGCAAACTTTTTCTATAAAGGGCCAGGCAGTAAGTATTTCAGGCTTTACAGTCAATGGAAAAATTCAAGCATGTTATAGAGATACTATAAGAGAGAAAACAAATGTCCACGAATTTTAAAATCTGAAACTCATATAATTTTCATGTCATGAAATATCATTCTTCTAATTTTTCAACCTACAAAAAATATAAAAATCACTCTGAGCTTGCAGTCTGTACAAAAAGAGGCAGCAAGCCGTAGTTTGCCAAACTGCTAATGTAATATGCAAGGAGCTGCAAAGAGTCGGACACGACTGAGTGACTGAACAATCACAACAAAAACAATATGCACTGCCTTGTTAAGCTGAATTAAATGAAATTTTGCAAAAACAGATCACCCCTGATATTTTAAGATCAACTTGTAAATCATTCACCATTGCAACCACCCCTGTCCCCGAAGGGTTAGGTACCATTGTATAATGAGTATGTGTGAGTGTGTGTCCTTAGTTGCTCAGTTGTGTCTGACTGTTTGCAATCCAATGGACTGTAGCCCGTCAGACTCCTTTGTTTATGTGATTCTTCAGGCAAGAATACTGGAGTGGGTCACCATTCCCTTCTCCTGGGGATCTTCCTGACCCAGGGGTCAAACCCTAGTCTCCTGCATTGCAAGCAGATTCGTGACCATCTGAGCCACCAGGGAAGCCCACCATGGTATAGTACCATACTAATATTCAGAGGGAGGTCTGAAGCTGAGAAGTTTAAGCTGCTTCTCTAAGGGCACCAATAGCGGGCCTCCAGGAGGCCCAATGTGGGCAGCACCGAGTCTCTGCACTGTGGTTGGGGACCTCTGTTGGTACAGCGAGTAGACAAGCTCTCCCACTCTCAGTTTTCTGCCATATGTCCTTTGGCATAATTTCCATACTTCTCCGTTTTGCCTTATTTTTCTTCTGTAGAATAGTTATGACAGTTGCCACCAAAAAAAAGTAAGGACTGTAGCTACCTCCAAATCAGAGGACAGCTAAAAACAATGCCAACTTGGTGTTTCTTTTTCCCCTCTCAATTTTGCAACTTCCTGCAAAGGAAAGAACACTGCAGTGAACAGCAGTGGACAGCTCAGAGAAAAGGAAACTGGGGAGAGTTTCAAAATTAGCCCAGTTCCTCTTATCTAGTTGTGTTTAGTAAATAAACAAAATATTTCTTAAATTCTTATATGTATTGATTTATTTGCTGTTTTTCATTAGCAACTTGGGAATATCTCTGAAAGGCCAGAGGCCTGTGGTTTTTATTCTTGTGACTGCCTGAGTTAGGACAGAATAAAATATTCAAGTATCATATAGTCCTGTTATGACATAAAACCACTTTAAGGACATGAAATAATATTCCTTCCCCCAAAATATTGAAGGTGACTGGCAGGTGATATAGGATAATTTCTGTGTTTTAAGGGAGTGTGATTTTCATTTCAAAGGCTGTCAGTAATATTACTTGAATTCATTAGCTTAGTCTGTTAAACTATGCTACTTTTAAGGCTTAGTTTATAGTCTATTCATAGTCCAGTCACTTGTAAATCAGGTTCCCACAAAATTTAAAAAAAGAAAAAATGTTATTCAAAGCCTGCAGGTTGGCCAACTTGATTGGTGCACTGTTTTCTCCAAAATATACTATCAGGCAAGGAATGGGCATTGGGAAATGCTTTAAAAAATGAGCAATGATTTATATTATAATGGTTTAGGAGACAGTTTAAGTAATATCCTCATCTTTTCTCACCAGAAATTTAAAAGTGACAGTTGTGGCTTTATTTAAGTTTCACTTTCTAACTTTTATGGTTTTAAAGAAGTGTATGCCAAAGTCCACAGGCACCTGCTTATGACTGCTTAAATATAAATAAAAGACACAGAAACGAAAGTGGAAGATTTCCATTCTTCCTTTCTCTTACTGTTTCTCCGAATTTTCTCAAACAGTGTTTACTTGCCCTTAACTGAAATAATGTGCTCTCAGCAAAGCCAGGGCTTCCTGGTTTCAAGATCAGTGTATTTTGAGTCCCACAGTCCTTTCTCTCAATTAGGCACTACGATTTCATTTGTGGAGGAAGATTCATGAACCTTCTTTAGATTGACTTACTCACTTTCCTCTTATTATTTTAATGTTTTTGTTCTTCCTTTAAATCTCACTGTAGGCTGCTCCAAATATGTAGCAGCAAATATTTTCAAGCCACCCAGCCACTTCCATATTTCTGTCTCAATCATACCATCTTTCTTTAGGAACCTCCTTCACACCAGCATTCTTCAGCACACTTACTCCTTCTGCAAGCTGCCTTTATTTCAGTGGTCCTTCCAAACTTATGTGTATAATAATTTGAAATTTCCTGAATTATTACTGTATGACTCCTCTTCTTCTGTAATAACATCAGAATGCCTGAATTTGAAGCTAGGTACATAATCTCCTAGGATAAAAACTACCCTTCCTGGTCTACCTCGTGGCTAATTATGATCCAGTGATGAAGTTCTGGCTCATGGACGGAATGAGAAGTGGTGTGTGGCAGTTTTGTGAAACCTTGTGTCTTTCATTTCTTCTTTCTCTTGCTGTCTGGGAGACAGAGAGGTGACTGGAGTGCTTCTTGGTTACAGAGAATGGGAGCCACCCGCCAGATGTGCAGGAGCAGGAACCCTGAAGCAGCCCACGCCCTGGGGTGGGGCTGCAGGAGACGGAAATGAACTTATGTGGTGTTTAAATTTCTCTTCATGCAACTGAAACAAATTCTAACCAATAGAGGGTTTTGTTTGTCTTTAAAGTAATATAAATAACATGTGAATGTATTCTAATTAAAAAAAATTCAGATAGTGCATGTATATATGAGACTGTACTTATGTATATATGTGTGTGTATGCTGACGTCTATCCAATATGTTTGGAAGAATACACATCACTGTAAGAGCATGGGACAGGTAACAGGGCAATGGGGAAAGAGATAAATGGTTACATTTTATTTGTAAATACATCTTTG